AAACTGACCATTGATATTCGTCCTTTCAAACGAACTGATACTATCATAGTCATTGCACAAGATACTTGAGTTGATGGGTGTCTGTTTCATTGTGGATGACAGCACCAACGACGACTGATTGATATCAGTTGATGAACTTAGCGGTGGATCAAAAGCTGTTGTTGCTCGACTTTCAGAAATTTGTCTACCTGCAAGATTACCACCACTGCTGTCTTTTACTATCAGCTCAGGTTTAGCACTAGCATCTGATGATAGGTGGGCTACATGCTGATCAATCACACTGACGGTCTCACAAGTATGCATGCCTTCTGCAACTGCATCTGCATTTATTTCTACTTCACGTTCAAGTTGTACAGAACCTTTGTTCAACTTAGCAGTAGTAGGCATATCCCTCATCTCATCATGATCAACCAAAGACAACTGTGAAGTATCATGATCATTATCACGAATATTCACTTTACCGTCAACTTCATCATTTTCAAACTCTTTAATAACAGAAGTAGACAATTTTGGTTCCTCCTCACAAATCACTAAAGGTTTTATACCTTCACTCTGACTAGTAATACCTTGTAAACTTGTAGGGTCAGAACTGCACTCTGAAGCAGCAACTCTATTCTGTGACACTCTATTCAACAATGGCTTACCAGTTGCAACTACAGACTTCCTGACCAAACCGTTATCGTCACACAATTCGGAGTCAGACCTGGAGTTTACATTTAGCTTATCACTGAACTTGCTCACTGGTTCACAGTTCACCTCTGTATGCACCTCTTGCAAACGTGTAAAACATAACCGTGTTTGTCTTGCATCTTGTAACTTATCTGTTGAGGATGTACTACGAAACCTGTTACACTCACTAGGTCTATATGCATTACTAGACATCATGGAGCCTTCTCGATATCCACCTCTCTGAGGCCCTTTCGTCATCAATGATTGCATTTTACCCTCAGACTGCTCTATTCTAGGGGTGAGATGTAATAGACTGGCGAACTTGCTCATAGATTGATTGACACTATCTTTTACCAGTTTCAGGATATCATCAAACTTTGGCTCGATACCCTCATCCTCCATACGGGAGCTCATCTTCACCCACTTCCTTTGCAGTCGAGTAGGTAGACGTCTTGCTATTACTTCTAGTATAAAACTCGAGTTGAGGTCACTCATGCGATTCATCGAAATCATTCCATTCTTGTAAATTAGCAAATTATCTAAAAACTCAGTGAGTGCCTGGGAGTCATCCTGTAATTGACCACCATTACCCTTAACAGCCTCGAATAATTTCCCTGCAATCATCGAAGGTCTTCCAAACCTTTGACGTAATATGCTCATAGCCTCGTAGTAGCCCTCTTTTGGCTTCATAAACTTACAGCACTGTATAGCTCTTGCAGCATCTCCAGTGCAATATCTCATCAAATACATTAACTTCAATTCATCATTTAATAAAAAACCACTCAACATGATCTCAAACTCCTTTACAAATTGTAAATAATCGACAGGGTTTCCATCAAAACACCGTGGTTCAAATTTAGGGAGTTTGATGTTCCTATTATCCCTGAACGGCGAAACAGTAACATCAACCATGTCATGCTTAACATCAGACACATCGTTACAATTAACAGACAAGTCACCATGACTTACTTTCCTGTTTGCATCCAAGACACTCTGTCCCTTCTTTGACCCAGGCATTGTTGAACTTGACCCAATTCCAAAAACGTTCCAGATATTGCTTGTTCAAAGAGGACTTGACCGGCACCAGGAAAGATGAACGGCGACTATCCAAACTTTCACCAACTGTTTGAATCCGCCAGATCTGTTTCCATCGTCAGAAACTGTCAATCACGTCTCATAAACCGTTAATGCCCAGCTCTCGCTACGCTCGGGCCCACGCTGTTCCTTGAAGATTTCAGAAACGCTTAGTTATAACGGACGAAAAAACCAAAACACCGATCTGCCGTTTGATATTTCTTTATTGTTACACCAACATATAAAAAGAATAAGTGAACTAAGGTCTGAAAACAAATATTACAATAATAAATCTCGTATTACTTCTGACGATGTTTCACTCTTCTTTCTGAACAGCGACCGATGAGACGATGACTGTCGTATTGATGCCTCCGCGAAAATTGGGGAAGTTGATTTTGAGCAAACAACCAAGAATTGATCGTTCAATCTTCAACTCCATTGACAGGGCGTAATGATTAATGTGTGTTCGATGTCTCTTTCTCCTTCATTAGATGTTGAAATGATGACCTTGGTTAACTCTACGAAGTTAGTATAGTAATTTTACCTCAATCCAAATAAGACTGAAGCAACACTACAGCCTCATCCTTAAAGTAAACTGACAAAACAAAGGCTTCATCCAAGGCATTTGAGAATGTGATGATGACAGTTGTGCAGAGTTATTACGTAGATTCATGGATGACTGTTGGCTACCTATATGCAGTTTTCAAAAGTGGAGTGAGCGGAATTCCTAGAGTTTGAGACTGCTCTCCAGAGTCCAACAGAAAACCTTGGGATGTCTACCGTAAAAAGATAAATGTTAAGCACACTTCAAAACCACTAGGCTTCAGGCTCGAGTGTTACTCGGGAATTTTTGAAGCCACGAAAAACTCAGACAACATGTGGAAGCTGCAGAAGGATCTGAGAATCCCCAAATGGTTTGACTAGAACTGGCCAGAAGGCGTGCAAAGAAATTCAATCAATGTAAGCACCTCGTAGGGTGACTCAAAACACCTGAGACTCCCATCTGCCTCTGAGTTTTGTCTCATTTAAGTCCACAATTTAGTTATAAGTCTCGTTTAAGTAGAAAATCTTATCAAATTGCACATTGTGCTACGTGTAAAAGGTAAACAGGTGCACTAACTCTAAAGCTTTTTACAAGTCTTTTAACAAAACACTCCTTGTAGGTCTGCTGCAAGTTAGCGTGGTTTCTGAGTCACTCGTACAGAGTGATCCTTCAGTTTGGCAATTCTGGACATCTTCATGTCAATCCAAGAGGGTCACGCCTTCAAAGAACCTGAACGGAAATGCCATACATTCTTCTTCTGTTCCATTGTTACTGCCTCGTAAGTGAATTTTGCCTACAACGACGGTATCGAGCTTCGAATGAGGGTAAAAATAATACGATAATACGCCGGTTGCAATTAATCTTTCTCGTATCTCGCCAAATATCAGGGCGGACTTCGTCCTGAAATCCTTGTAAATGAGTTACCTCCCTCGTGGAGAGACTAATCGCAGTCTTATAAGAGCTATAATCCAAACATAGGCAACAGCGGTTTTCCAAACTTGATCCTCCTCATAATTCCCTCACTGCCCTAGAGGTTAAAAAGAGCACACCTCCACGATTTACTGCAAAAGAACATGCCAAATACCATGCAAAAGCAGGTGCACACTAATCCACCGGGACTCCAAACTGGCAAGTTGTCTAAACAGTGCCTGTTTGCTGCGTTAATGACAAACTGCGGTGACGTTTTTATGTCAAGATGTAGAACCATTTATTAGCTGCTGCAACACCTAAATTGAATCTAAATAATACGAGCCTTTAAAAACTTGAACTATTTTATAACTAATCGGTAGCACAGCAAAAGGTGACAACAAAAATTTTCACTCTTGTCGTCTTGTTCCCAATATCATCCTGATTTTTTAGCAACATTATTCTTGAATCAGATTAGATCCTCAAAAACTTAGTTCACCACTCATGAGCGGACGAGTGGTGGATAGATCTCCCAGATTTCCTCTAAGAAATCATGATGCGTGGAGTGCAAAGGGTTGACCGTTGGTACACAACTGGCAGTGATACGGGTAGAAATGGCTCGATGTCGTGATCATATATAAATGATATGTCATGTGCAATAGAATTCTGGTGGGGTTCCAAGTTGTTTACGCTTTCTGACCAGCCATCTGATGGATCATTTCAGGCTAGCTAGAGGAAGTGTTGATGAAAGTCTTCAGACTGTTGGAAATGCTTTGCTTGATGTGAACTTAAATACTCTGAAACATACAGAACTGTTACACAAGTGTTAAAAATTTTGAACTGTTGAGGAAATAAAAAATAGCTGTATACGGAGACGAAAAGGTCCAAAAAGTAATATTTATCCTTGTGTCTCAGGTAGCTTTTTTAATTTTCTGGGCTGTTATATGAATTAAATTTTGATGGTTATACTGCGAATCGCGCTACCTCCGCAACAAATCATATGAGGAATGACTAAAGAAATTAGGTCTTTTCACACTTAGTTACCGAAGGCACAGGGGAGACCTCATCACCGTCTACCAAATCCTAAATGACCAGGCCCACCCAAATAAAAGCATCCTGCCATTAAGTGACTATAGGCTTCCACGAGGTAACCCGCTAAGGATAGCACACCACAGACCAAAGACTGGAGTGCGATCACATTTCTTTTCGCTTCGTGTTTGCCGTCTCTGGAACGCTTTACCGGCGGCCGTGACTACAGCGCCTTCTCTGGAGATTTTTAAGCGGAAGCTAGACAATCATGCAGAAATGCAAGGTTTGTGTCTCACTGGCTTATCCTCATAAAACTTGAAACCACACTGTCAATGGATAAGCGTACAAACTAAATCCCCACGACCTATTCTGCCTTCTCTCACTCTATCTTTTCCTTATGTCACCTTTATTATTCCACTTATCTCAACCTATATTATCTACACTACAACCCATTATTTTTATTCTTATTATTATTACTACTATTCTGCTTTTATGATTACACCGAATGACCAACGGGAGTTAGGTCAAACTCCATTCACGGCAGCAATACAGTCCTAACATACTGCATACTACAAACCACATCTCAACCAATCCCGGCACCACTCCTCCTGGAGTCTACCAGAGCTAAAGCAGTCGAGTGTCGGGACTTACTAAGCAGAAGCTCACAGAAGATCTGGAACCTCAACCTCACAATCAAGAACGAGCTCAAAGAAATCACTGGTGTATACTAGCTCGTAATCAGGATATTGGATATTGAAGGTAGCTGATGGTGGGAATTGTTTAACAACGCAACCCATGAAGGTCACACACACCTACCAGAAGTACAAACCAGAAGCTACTTGTGGGATTATCGCTAGCGATTCCTGCAAAGTCAGTTATGTGCCGGGCAAAAACCGAAGAAATGGGGAATACTGTTTATGTGGCGCAGGTGAATTAGCAATTGTGTGGAAGCCTAGAACTTCAGAAAAAGTATGCTAAAAGTTTCTTATTTCCAGGTTCATATCTTTTCCAGGGAATCAGGATTCTTCCCTGTAACTTGTCTCAAGGCTTCTGGAACATCAGAGGTGGATTATAGAGTGGCCGTTGGCTATGCGGACGGAGCTGTTAATATTTTTAATATGAAATCTGGTGATATTGAAGTTCACTTCCGTGCTGGTCGCACCAGGGTAACATCTATGGACCTACAAAATGACTTGCTTGTCTCTGCTGCGGTATGAAGTCGTACACTTATTTACTTTGTAGGACTCAGAAATTAATCTCTTTGACGTTGTTTCGGGCACTGGTACACGAATGAAAGGACACCATGGGATTATCACTCGTCTTAAAATATTAGTTGATAGAAAAATGCTTATATCTAGGTAATTTTCCACGCTATTTTCTTGTGTCCATTGATTACTGTCTTTTAATGGTTAATTTGAGGATTTTTCTACTTTATCTGTCAGTCGATGTTGTGCGCTTAGTTTTGTTCCTTGCATATATTTCTAGTTTCTATGCACATGTAGGACGTGGTCCTAAAAAGCTTGTTTTATTACCCTTGCTCAACTTAGTTGACAGTTTTTAACCACGAAAGCAGTTCTATTTGCGTTTTTGTTAAATGTAACTCGACTTGATAATAAGGTTCATTGTAATGATGCAGTAACTCTTAGATGGTGAATACTTTTATGTAGTGGAGTGAAAATGTTAAGTAATTCCACTGTTATTTTAGCCTAACACCTTAAAAGCCCCAAACCTTCTCAACACCTCAAATCAAACGTTTTCTAAAGTCTATATACCTAGTTACTTACTTCGGACTGAATTGAGTAGTTAGATCCCTGTTCTTATATGATAAGCAGCACTTCAGTAATGACATGACTGCTGCTGTTTCAAATTCAAGAGAATACGCTTAGCGTATTTGCATGCTTACATATCCTCCCTGAACTTCAAAGAGCAACAGACTTTGGTTACAGTATTTACCACAAATATTTCAACTTATTTGAAGGTAACCCGAATTGCGATTGTTCACCTGTTATTCATAGAAGAAAGTGGGACGGATTGCACTTCGAAATGTCTCTACATAGGTAAATACTGATAGCGTTTGTCAGGAAAATTTCGCTTATTTTTTTTGAAAAATTTGAATAACAAAGCTCTTCTTATTAACAATGTGTGCCAGCATCATCCAGTAGTGACTCTGTGTATTTCATAAAAACTTAGAATTTTGGTCTAGATAGAGTTGACGGTGCTCCTTGAGCTATCACAATAATCAAGTGGTCATTGTAAAATTTAAGTAGTTTCTTGTGTAATAGTCTCCAGTAGCATCCATATTATGAACTAAGTTTTCAAAGTTCTGTTCAGAAATCATGAACTGTTATTTAGTTTGAAGCCCAGGAAAATCAAAAACATTTTATAGGATACAACTAGATAGAACTCCGAATTTTCTTTAAGTACTTTTCAAACTTTACTCTGAAATTATTTGGACTGAAATCTCATAAAATATATATGTTGCCACTATAGGGCAATTCGGATTGATTCCAATAAGCCAGTACTTACGGTTTTATTTTCGGAGTAAATTTGAGCATGTATTGATGAGTAAGTCAAGTTTTAATATTTCTTCATCTCTGCTAACATCTTTCTGTCATATATTCGTGACCTTCATATCATTATGCTGATTAACATCTACGACTTTTCATTTCGGCTTCAGTGCACAAGATAGTTTTATCAAATTTTGGGACTTGAAGACTCAACATTGTTTCGCTACATTGACGGGACACCCAGGACCTGTGTGGGATTTCGCACTTGCTCGTCGTGATGAGTTACTCGTTAGTGGAACTAATGACCATAATTTGAGGGTGTGGCATATAAATTATGTGGAACCTGTAAGTTGTATTCTGTTCTGAACTTCAGTGGAACTGTTTATATTATCTTTATAGATTCTATTAATTCATTTTCACATATAGTGGTTTCATATAATCAGTGGCGAAATCTCTGACGAAATCTCAGCACGAATACAAGGGGCTCGTTTCGCATTTGTTAGTTTACGCCGACTCTGGCGTAGACGAGATGTTCGACTATCGACCAAAGGGCGGGTGTACTGCTCATCAGTCCGCTCCGTCCTCCTTTATGGTTGTGAGACCTGGCCACTGAGAGTGGAAGACATGAAAAGACTAGCTGTCTTTGATCATAGGTGCCTGCGTTCTATTCCCCCTGTAAAGTGGCATAATAAGGTGAGCAATATGGGGGTTAGGCGTAGAGTTCTAGGTAAACAGGGGAAATCAATCGACGAAGTCGTGAAGTTACAAAGACTGAGATGGTTAGGACATGTGTTACGTATGCCAAGCCATCGCCTCCCTCGACGAGCAATGTTAGCGGATATAGGGTCAGGCTGGAAAAAAGCTAGCGGCGGTCAAACAAAAACTTGGCATCAGTCAATGAAATCCACAACAGTTGGTCTTAGCCACGTAGAAAGGTGTAGACTTCCAGGCTGGGGTCCTCGGGACGGTAAAAATCTATGGTTGGAAACAATTGGTGACATGGCTCAAAATCGTTCTCAGTGGCGCAGATGCATCCACTCCCTGTGACTTATGATCTTCAATGAAACTGTTTTGTATTTCTTTATTACTCCTTTGTCTCACACTTCTGCTCACTGTTTCTATTATGCTTTTCTTGTATAAGTAATGTTGATGTTAGGCGTAGAGTGTTGGGCAAAGAGGGAAAATCAATCGACGAGGCTATAAAGTTACATAGACTAAGATGGCTAGGTCACGTGCTGCGCATGCCTAACCACCGCCTCCCCCGACGGGCTTTGCTAGCTGATATAGGTTCAGGTTGGAAAAGAGCCAGTGGTGGCCAAACAAAAACATGGCATGGCATCAATCCATGAAATCCTTGACAGTTAAACTGAGTCAGGTAGGGAGATGCAGACTCCCGGGTTGGGGCCCTCGGGACTCTAGGAATCAATGGCTGGAGACAATAGGTGACATGGCTCAAAATCGTTGTCAGTGGCGCAGATGTATTCAGTCTCTGTAATCTTTCATATTCCTTTCTACCATTACCCATTCTGTTTCACTCTTATACTTGTCAAACTCTATTAATTCTCTTCACTCATCTTCTTGCCTACCTCTGTGGGCTATTTGGAACGTGGCAACTCGAACTGCTGCACTTCGGTGCCAAGTTCTATGTTGAATCCAGACAGAGACAGACAGACTTTCTTCTCTTGCTTCGCGTGCTACACGGAATGTGGCGACTTGAACTTCCGCACATTTGTGCAAAGTTCTATGTCGAAAACAGACAGACAGTGGCAGCCATTAGAGCTACTGTGTTTCTTGTCATTTTTTAAAATTATTCTGTTCCTTTACGTTCCCAGTGGAACATAGGGCTTCAAAATAGAGCTTTGAAGTTTTTGTAGCAGTGGTGTTTAGTTTTAAGACATGGGGCTTCTAGCCTCACGCCAAACCTTACCTCTTTACCGGTCTTATCGCTGGCTTAGCAAGGTAAAGGAGTTCGTCAGCCCGGAACCGAACCCCTAACCACATGTGTGGTCGGCGAGCGTTCTACCACTGAACCACCGACGCATGTTTTCCGTCATAGTTTTGATAAATCGAGGTTACTAATCCAGTACCGATATGTAGACTTCAACGATCAGACACCGTATGTGTCATCAGCAAGCTTGTTTAAACCATTGGTCCCAAGCTTATCTGTAAGGTGATGCTAAGATACTTTTGGTTAATATTCAGTGTTTTTGAAACTGAACTTAATAGAAATTCTACCGAAATACTTTAAACATATCTAACATTCACGAAATTGCAAATATAGTTCTTATAGTTAAATGTAAAAACTCAACAAGAAATATATATATATGTCAGTAATAATTAAAGTGTTGTATTTTAAAACTAATATGGTTGTTTTCTGCTTTAGGTAACTGCAAATGATTTATGTGAAAAACAGACTGACAAGACTATTGCAGATCGTAACGAAACGATAACTCCATTAAACGAAACCCAATTTCAAATCAGTGCACAATTTTTGGGTTGTGTCCAGCGTTCTGGTGTACGCCGTGTTCATTGTTTGGCTTTTGACCCTACTGGAACTTACCTCTTATGTCAGGTATAGTTAATAAAAGTTAATTTTATTTCTTTGATCTCATCAGTCACCCGTTTTCGTGAATGCTTTCCAAGATTTGAGGCAAAATATTGTCTCTGTATAGATTCGTTCCTGCTGCAAAAGCGAAATTAAAGCCTATCTTTGGTATACTTAAGGGGATATAAACACAATGACGCGACAAAGAATAAATTTGTCACAATTAGCTCAAGTCGCCTCAGTGGAACTTTCTGTGGCGCTCAAAGATTATTTAATATCAGTAATAATTTAGTTATAGTAAGTGACTAACTGGTCGGTGTTGAACTTTTATAGATCTGTACCTCTCTGAATCTCTACTCTTCTAAACGGTACACAGAAAAGACAACAGAATTAGAACGATACTACGATACACTGGTGTGAGTGTGATGGTTGGAAATTATAAAATTAAGTTTGGTAAAAATATTCAGGATATATGTGTAAAAAATGAGTACGACTATGTTCGTTTTCTTGATTTAGATTTACATTGTATTGTGTAGGTATATATATACATATATTACACTAACTCGAGTTTCATATAGTTAGTTTTTAGCTAATGGGTTCCTCTCCTTCGAGACAACCGAGTAGCGTCCTAAGCTAATACACGTTAAATGTAGCTAATACATTGAATTACTATTTTTAGTTATCGAAAGGCAAATAGAGAATAATAGTAACTTTTGCTTTATTCCAAGAACAGTACTAATGATACAGCAAGGAACTTTCAGCATTCAGTACAATATTGCACCTAATTTACTCAAAAACGACAAAAAATTAAACATTACGTAATGGTAATAATAACAAAACGTTGTTATAGCAGATATGTAGCAAATTACAGAATGCGATACGGAAAAAAATATGCATTCAGTATAAAATTATAGTAATAATAGTAATAACAACTAAAATAAAGCAGCAAAGTTATAATTAAACGATAGAAAGGGTGACACCATAAAATTACAGAAAGATGAACAATGAAAGGGTCGATTCACTTTGCTAATTACATAGTAACTTATGTGTTTCACGTCTAACAGTGTCTGAATACTTCATCGATGACTTACATAACTCAGTTTTAATATCACTTTCCTTAAATTCATCATGAATATTTTAGTACTAACATTTCTGCTTTGTTTCATCTAGTCTTTCGATCGATGTCTTGAAATTTTTCGACTTCTAGATGAAGACGCAAAGGTGAAAAGATTACGCAAAAAGACTAAAAAAGCCAAAGAGTAAGTTGGTATTCTTTTATCCATGCGGAAATACCAGCCATAAAGAAAATTTCTTTCTTAATTGATATCAACATACATTTTAATATTCTGCCGCAATTTATTGGTTATAAATTCTGGGGTGCTTTGTTAACCATGTTGACCAGTTGTGTATTTTTTGTTGTTGATCCCATTGGGAACTATACTGAAAGAAACAGAAAAAGCTTATAGTCAAGTACTGTTGTAAGCTTCAGCACGTGGAAATCACGTCTATCTCTGACTTGCTAGGTAAGCACTTTCCATCATATTACCCACCTTAACTTGTTTTTATTTACATACATTTCAGCAAAGGATTACCATCATCTAATATTACTCTGGGTGCTGAGGATGAACTGCTTCCTATCCTAAGAATTTTCCTTTCCGCCAAACCCAGTAGCTGTGATATTTTGGCACCTCAACTGGTGACTGATCACGACTCACAGAAGCATCTTCTTCGTGTAGGTTCTCATTATTATTTGCCTGTATTTTTCCTTCCCTTTTCTTTGTGAATGTCGTTTGTTACCATATGGTTAACGTATTATTTATTCTGTTCCTTTCTTTTCTGTCAGTTTATCTGCTCCCTAAAAAATAATATGCTGGAGGAAATACAACTCTCAATTCCTTTATGTCCGTTCAAATTACAAACTTTACAACTGACATCCACATTAACTAAGAATTGTCCAAATGCTCGCCTGTTGAATACTGTTTCAATCTTTGGACACAGAAGTTCAGTAATTGCTTGCAGTCTTACCAGTGATAATCTCGGCATCTTTACACTATCGAAAACCGAAGCAAAGCTGTGGAGTAGGTATGTGTACATTGAGACATAATGAAGTAATTTTTAAATTTGACACAGTTCATTCCAGGCTTCACACTTATTGTCTCTTATGAAAGTTTGAAAGACGCCTATGCAGAAACTTGTGGTTGCAAAGCAGAACAAATGTCCATGGTTGATTAACAACACGGCATCTTACAACGTCTTTATGACACATGCCTACATGTACGATAGCTGGTTAAGTCATTTCTAAGGCTATGAAGCATAGTATTATGCGTCATTTTGCAACTAAACCATTCTCGTACTCGTTTTTCTAAAGGCTTTACATAATCTGTGTGAAAAACGTCGCTACAGAAGTTTTATTGGTCACGCCGAAGTTGTTGTGGGAAAAGTACGGTTGAGTAGAACATGTTTGCTTAAAGTCACTTTTAGTTCACATTGTTAGATGAGTTTAACTACGTTTGTGTATTACTTTTTGTTCCTCCTGAAAATTTCTTCTGACAATCGCAACTATTATACAACTGTTTTTGGTTTCTGTAGACGGTCAACTGCATGTCTAGCAACATTAGAATGGAAAAATCAGTCGCGTTCCAACTATGATACATCTGATGAAGTATCTGCGAACAAATCACTACCATCTAAAGCATCATCGATGGTACTTGCCCAGGAGATCGTCATGTTGTCATTGGTTTTGAGGTATGTGATATACAAATTGAACACATCCTCTACTTTACTGTTGATGAAATTGTTAGAAATTACTACTTCTCTTTACAAGTGATTACTGTAATTTTTACTTATTGTAACTCTCCGGTTCTAACTTCGCTAAGCATTGAAGTCATTTATTTACTTCTGATGTACTTTTGTGCAATATCCTATCAGTTTGATATCAAAAATTATGCTGGTCAAGATTCTTCTAACTGAATTTTTTTTTGGGTACGAGTGTTGTAGATATTTTGAATGGCTGAACTTCACATAGTCACTGATTCAATCTGTTAGGTATGGGAAGTATGTTTCTTCATATCTGATTGGAAAGTATTCTAGTCTTATAAATAATGTAATGGTGAGATTTGCGTTGAATAACGTAATTTACAATCTCGGTAAGTTATCAATCATATCTTGTTCATAAGTGCGAGAAAGGGGAATCTGAGTTCAAGACTTGCTGCCAGGTAATTCACAATACGACTGAAAGTTCTCAGAAATAATTAATTGACTAGGTTTATTGCGGTAACTGAGTTTACAGTCATTTCTGACTCTCATCATATTCATCACTGCTTAGATGGTAAGCAGAAAAAAGTAAGTTTGGCTACCAATGTGGCTCATAATTCCACTGACATTATGATCCTTTTTTGGTTTTAGTCGCATGTGTATTTTGTTTACAAAAACGTATTACACTGCCATAGATTTATTTTCTTCTTGAACTAATAATGGGCTTTTTAAGCTATATTAGGCCAGTCACTTATGTTTCCTATTCCAGACAATTTCAACTAAAGCTCAGACCTCAAAAAATGTTAATACATAAACTCAGATGTGCTAATTGTTGTTGACTGTAACTAATAGAGTCATTGTAAGGAACAGAATAGTACTGTAAGACAACCAACACAGTTGCATGCAGTTGTCTTCTGCAAAATAATAATTAGCTAGTGAAATGTAATAACCTTCAATATGAACGTTTCAGGTTAGATAACCGAAATTAGTATTCAAAAAATTACTTGGTAAAAGGTGGTCACATTTAATATTCCACTTAGCTTTATGTATTGTTTATGTGTAAGCTTGTAAACAGTATAGAAGAAAGCTAAAACCAAGAGGTAGTGAACGCTCATGATATCCTCTGCCAGACAGACTGTAGAATTGTATCATGGCTAGTGTGATTTTTGTTTCAGAACTGAGCGACGAATTTCACCTACTTCTGATGTAACACAACTGTTAATTAATCCTAATGTAGGGTGAGATAGTTATCCAATATTCCTTGACCTCCACTGATTTTATAGTCAATATGTTATTCATGATAAAAGCTTTGAAGTCAACAAATTGACTACAAACTATCCAACAAATATGTGACATGTTACGGAAATTTATCTCAGCTAATTTTTTTCCATTTCCTGTCATTACAAAAATTAAAATACTTGAATTGCAAACCATTATTAGGTTGGATTTCCAGGCGATACACACTAAAGCTCGCTCAGTTTACTAGCTGGTAGTAAGCCTGGAAAAGGATGTGAAGCTAGCGACCCCACTCTGCACAAAAAATACCGCTGGTACTGAAACTTTAAAGCTGCGAGCTCCGTGTATCACCCGGAGTACAAAGAATAAAACTGATCGGATATGGAAAGTGCCTTTTAATACCTAAATTAAACAGACTCTTCAGATTACAGTTCCTGGTTTTACATGTGATATGTATATATTTGTTTTGCATTATACGAGAGAAGTTTTAAATCGATGGGGCTAATTTGTATTCGTCTTATTTTGGCATCTAATGATTAGTGTTATGAAGTGGGTATTCCTTTTTTTCTATAATTGGTTTGTAAGCGTTAGATTTGTTTTTACGAGTTGATCACGGATTGATATCAGTTAGAGAAGCATCGAAAACCATGTAGTACTGGTTTGGGAATTATCAGCTTTGCACTACCATTGGGGTTCGAACTCAGGACCTTCCGATTTCAAGACAAGCTCGTATACCATTCAGTCACTGGGACCAGATTCAATGGCTCATGAATTCCAACTTCTACCTTCCTTTTTTATAGGTTACAGTTATAGGAAATAAAATAAAGTCAGTATTCACTGTATTTGTGGCTCTTATCTTATTGGTTGTTTTTATTCACTTCAAATCATTATTCCTTAAAGTTCTTATGCATAATCATGATCTTTCAACTACGGTTTTATTGTAATAATGAAATATTACTACGATAAAATTCATTTTTTGCAGACCGGTCACTTACTTTTATTCGATCTTACCTCCAAGTCAATCGTCCAGAGTATTGATGATGCTCATAATGGTGCTGTACGAACCTTAGCTATAACAGGAGATAAGGTGGGTGTAGTTTACTCCTTATTTTCGGGTCTTTTGTTTCGTTTTTATTTATCTCCTAGTCGTCCTTATTCAATACTGAAGCCATATAGCCCAGTGGTAACCGCATCTAATCATGTGGTCCAGGGTTCGGTCCCGGGCCGACTTACTCCTTTTGCTTATCTAAGCCGGTAATAAGACCGGTAAAGAGGGATGGTTGGGCATGAGGCTAGCAACCCCATCCAGTAAAAATAAACACCACTGTTACCGAAACTTCAAAGCTCTATTTTGGAGCCCTCTGATCCACTGGAATCGTAAAAGAATAAAATAAGTAATACTAACTTGTTCAATACTAGTACTATTACTTCCTTTTTTATCCATGTATATATTGTACTCATCTGTAAAGGCTTATGCTTAATTATATCATCGATAATATCTATGGATGGTCAGTTTGTAATATTTCAACAACTTATTTACTAATTTGCTTTTTTACTTCGAGTTTATATGTAAGCAGTGGTTGAGTATTAAGGAATTCTAAATAACCTCCATAAGTTAACTTAATGATCCATTTGGGTAAAGAGAAGTAATAATCTTGAGCGCCCAGTCTATCCGTTGGTCTGATCATGTTCTTGCGACTTTATGTTGACAGATCTTCCAAGGATGACGGAATAATACATGACCTTATGGTTGTGTGCCACGTGCTATACACATGTGCCCCCAACCATATTAATGTTTAGCTAAGATGAGATGCGGCTCTCACCGTGTGATTCTCGTTTCCAAATCGTACCTCACTTCAGTTTGGTAAAGTGGGTAGTATTACCAGCCTTCACGCAATAAGTGTGGCTTACGGCTTGGTTTGCGAAAACTCTGTTCCGAATAACTTAGTACTAACAACAACAGAAACTGTCTACCGTCAGCCTGGGAATTCGTAGAGAATAAGTTTGGAATATATTAACCGCCTTATTTATGGACTAAATGATTCACTAGGTTATATCCATGGTCATTCATGGTGGTTACTAATGTGTGTCCATAATGCCACTGTATAGTTACCGCTCCGGATTACTATGTAATCCATGATCTTATTTCATGTGATTAAAGAAATCAACTGTAAACATAATTATGATTCCCGGAATGGGTGATGTGACTAATGTATTTTTTATCCTTCACTTTCCCCAGTGGAACATAGGGCTCCAGATTATTGGTTCGAAGTTTCTGTAGAAGTGCTTATTTTACAGGATGGGGTTGCTAGCCTCATTCCCAACCTTTCCTCTTTACCAGCATTATTTCGGCTTAGAGAGGTGAAGAAGCGCGTCGGCCGGGGATCGAACCTCGGACCATGTGCATGGTCGGCTAGCGTCCTAACCGCTATGCCACCGACGCGACTAATGTATTGATGATAAATAAAGAATAATTAATACAACATGATCATTTTTATTTCTTCCATTCTAGAAAGGAATTATATCTGGTGGTTCTGATAAACAAGTACGGTTCTATGATTTTCACCTAAAAACTGCTGATAACGGGTAAGTACATCTTGCATCCTACCTATTCTTCTTTATTGTTCACCCTTATTCTTTCCTGGTTTGCTTAAAAAGGACTATGTCACAATTCGTAGAATTCTGAAGACAGTCAGTAGGGTGAGTGGTCTCCCAGTGGACCACATAGTTAACGTCGTTAGCGACAGGCACTTGAATTCGTGCAATAAATTTGCTAGAGGGATTTTGTCTGACTTGGGGCATCCACTTTACCCTCAGCTTTCATCTTGCTTCTCCTCAGGTAAAATAAGAAGTAACTTCAGGAAACTGCATGCTCGCACGTCTAAGTATAGAAATTCTATGATACCATACTTGCCACGTATTTTATGTGATGAAAATAGTGTCAGGCAAGAATTAACTAACCTTTTTTCATCTAGTAAATAAACAATTTCCTCCATCCATCCTTATATACCTCCAAGTCTTACTTTTATTATCTCTATTATATTTATGGTCCTGTTGCTTCTTTGTTTTACTCTCATAACCGCAAACACCAACTTGCCTCTATGCTTGCTGTATTCTTTGTTTTTCCCCTCACCGTATCATGTAAAGAAAACATTATATTCAATATTTTTAAACATGCTAGGATTTCTATACCGCATCGGCAATATTGTGTGAAACAAGCCCACGGCAATTTTCACTTGTATTATTATTGCCTTAGCTGTTATCATTATTATTATTTCCATTTTATATGCTGCATGTTTTTGACATTACCTCTATTGTATATTATTATTGTATTATTGCTCCCTTGGGTTCCTAGTGGAACATAGGGCTTCAAATACACGTCTCCACTTGCTTCTGTCTTCTGCTGTACTTTTCACCTGCATCCATGTTAGTCCATACTCTTTCAACTCTTCTTCACACGATCTCCTCCATGTCAACCTTGCATTGACGTCCCACTCGCTGCTTCCCTTTCGGGTTCCACTCGAGGGCTTGACGCGCGATGTCACCCAGCGGTCTCCTCAGCTAGTGTCCTATCCATCTTCACTTTCTCCTGCATATTTATTGTTTGGCGATTTGTTCTTGTTTTGTTTGTTCCCAAAGTTTTTTGTTGGTGATTCTTTCCGGCCCGGCCATCTGATCTTCAGTATAGAGCCAGCGAAGACAGTTGTTAAAAAAGGTCTGCAACCTTTTGGAAATATTCCTTGTGACCCGCCCGCCAAGTTTCTGATCCATATAGAAGAAGTGACTTTACGTTTAACTCTATTGTAAATGTGGAAAATTTTCTGTGATTAATTTTGGGAATCAGAAGAAGTCCCATCGGGTTGGTGTAAGTCACTGATTATCCCCATATACAAGAAGGGAGACAAGTCTTCCTGTGATAATCACAGAGGGATTAGCTTGACTAATATAGTATCTAAAGTCTTAGGCTCAATAATCATGCGTAGACTGAGTGGTGCTCGGGAAGCACAAACACGAGAGAGCCAGGCAGGCTTTAGACCAGGAAGAGGGTGTATTGATCATATCTTCACCCTCCGACAGATTCTAGAACATAGGCATTCCTACCGGCGTCCAACAGTCATTATATTTCTTGACCTAAAGGCAGCATTCGACTCTGTCGATCGGGAAGTTCTCTGGAGATGCTTGGCTGTAAAGGGAATTCCAAGAAAATATATTGCACTGATTAAGGCACTCTATTCGTACTCATACAGCCAGGTGAGGGCTTACGGCGAGCTGTCATCTGAACTGATGACGACCAGTGGTGTCCGTCAAGGATGCCCATTATCTCCTTTTCTATTCAACTTCATCATAGATGTGTTAATGGACTTAACCCTAGGTGACTTCAGCGACTCAGGGATTGACTTGCTACCGGGGAATAATCTCGTTGACTTGGAATATGCAGACGATATAGTCCTTCTAGGCGAAGACGCTGACGAAATGCAGAGTCTTCTAAACACCTTGAGCCGCAATCTACGAATGTTTGGCATGCGATTCGCTCCCGCCAAATGCAAGATGATGTTACAGGACTGGACTACATCGACGCCTAGTTTAAAAATAGGAAGTGAAGTGGTAGAGCACGTTGACCGCTTCACTTATTTGGGAAGTACCATCAGCCCCAACGGGCTGATCTCTGACGAAATCTCAGCACGAATACAAGGGGCTCGTTTCGCATTTGTTAGTTTACGCCGACTCTGGCGTAGACGAGATGTTCGACTATCGACCAAAGGGCGGGTGTACTGCTCATCAGTCCGCTCCGTCCTCCTTTATGGTTGTGAGACCTGGCCACTGAGAGTGGAAGACATGAAAAGACTAGCTGTCTTTGATCATAGGTGCCTGCGTTCTATTTCCCGTGTAAAGTGGCATAATAAGGTGAGCAACATGGAGGTTAGGCGTAGAGTTCTAGGTAAACAGGGGAAATCAATCGACGAAGTCGTGAAGCTACAAAGACTGAGATGGTTAGGACATGTGTTACGTATGCCAAGTCATCGCCTCCCTCGACGAGCAATGTTAGCGGATATAGGGTCAGGCTGGAAAAAAGCTAGCGGCGGTCAAACAAAAACTTGGCATCAGTCAATGAAATCCACAACAGTTGGTCTTAGCCACGTAGGAAGGTGTAGACTTCCAGGCTGGGGTCCTCGGGACGGTAAAAATCTATGGTTGGAAACAATTGGTGACATGGCTCAAAATCGTTCTCAGTGGCGCAGATGCATCCACTCCCTGTGACTTATGATCTTCAATGAAACTGTTTTGTATTTCTTTATTACTCCTTTGTCTCACACCTCTGCTCACTGTTTCTATTATGCTTTTCTTGTACTTTCTTCTCTTGCTTCGCGTGCTACACGGAATGTGGCGACTTGAACTTCCGCACATTTGTGCAAAGTTCTATGTCGAAAACAGACAGACAGATTTATAATTTGAGGAAATTAGATGCAATATTGTGATTAATGCTGAAAATTCCATTCTGTATCACAAGTACTGTTTTTGGAATAAAGTAAATCATTATTATTATCTTTGTACATGCTATCACTCAATAAACTTATAGCTAAGTGCTATGCTCATCTCCCTGTTTTAGGATATTACTATTCTTTTGGGTTCCAAGTGGAACGTAAAGCTTTAGCATCTCCTCTATGTAACTCTCGGACATCCATTCGCATTCGGACTCCACTCGACGGCGTGGCACGTGATTTCACTCAACGGCGCCCCCACAGCGTGTGTCTAATAAATCTCCATTTCCTTCTTGATTTTCTTTGCGCGCTAGGTTGTTGGTTGGTTCATTGCGTGCCAGAGTTCCTCGTTTTTTTCATCCCTTCTGGCCATTTGATCTAAAGCATTAAGCTAAGACAGCTGCTGTTTTGGGAAATGGTTATTTACTACACGCATATTTGTCAGCCACGGACAACACATAAGTTAACGCTTTTTGTGGGCATCATTAGTCGTTGAAAATGTATCTGAAGAATAAGATAAAATGTTTGTAATAAAAAACCCGTCACATACAATGATTCATTTGAACAATATATTAACTCCCATACTTAACTAACGACACATTTATTCATCGTCAACCTCCTACTCTACAGACTTCATAACATTTATCATTCTTCGTGTGTTATTGTAGTGTTTTTGTTGTGTTGACTATGTAAGTAAGTTGTCATTAATCTTTACTTCATTCGACTCTTTTTTGTTTTTATTTCAGCAAGCCAACTCTCTGTCTTGTTGAGAGTAATCCAGTGAAAACTGTTTCCGATCAGATCAGTTGTATGTCCGTCTCACCGAATAATCGACTAGTGGTTGTTGCACTGATGAATTTTCATGTGGATGTGTTTTTTACTGATTCATTCAAGGTAGGCTTTTTTGCCCCCTAATTTTATTAACGCAGTGTTAATTTTTCTTTCTGTTTCCATTTTTTATTAGTTTAAAATTTCTATCCATAATTTCTTTATTACTGATGAGATTGACTGAATTTGTCTCTCACCGCTGTCCTTCACCCACCAATTTTTGTTTTCTTCAGCGTATACACTCACTATATGGTCATTCTGCTCCAGTAGTTAGCTTGGATATTTCTGCTGATAGCCGTTTAATCATTACAGGAAGTAGTGATAAGACTGTTCGTTTGTGGGAATTGCAGTTCGGTAATTGTCAACGACGATTTACCTCACATTTGGAACCGTAAGTCTTCTTAACTTTTATCTACACTTACTTTAACACTTTTCTTGTTAATTATCTAAGCCTTAAGCATATTTAAAATACAGTCAGTTTGAAGATTCAGCTAGCGAGTAAAACCCGTGTGTAAAATGAAAGTAATATTAATAGTTTTGATGAAAAGAAATAGAAATGTGAGGAACTAGGACGTTGTCTTTGTGAAAATGCATTGTAGGTAAATCGGCAATTTCTATTAAAACCAGCAACATATGAGGTAGCTATTGATATAAGGATAAAACTTGGGCATTATGGTAGAGTATAATGCCATTATGACTTTATCGAAATAAAATTTTATCCATAGTGAAGCTGAGGTAGCTAACATTTCGTTGCACAACTTGACATAAAAACCAGAAACTTTATACGTTTTATCCTAAGCTTTTACCGTTTTCAAAAGAATGGATACTGAACAAAGAGTACTCTTTTCGATAACCCCTTCATCATCAGTCTCTACATTATAGTGAATGAATGAGTTAGTGTTATGAACGACATTAATGTTTAAACAACATCAAATCAATAATATTGATAGATTACAGCACAACAGCATCAACATAAAACAAGCTGAATGTCAGAAGAATTAGGAAAGATAATAGTACAAATTCATGAGTTTATAGTTTCTACTGAAGGCTGGCCAGGGAAATAGTAGGGGCTGGACTTGCTTCTTTTGAACACAGAGCGCTGGTTGTTTGAGGCAAATCGCAATAGCCTCTGCTGTTTTGAGCATGCGGTACTTAGGTGATTTTGGCAATTTATTAGGCACCCAGTATATGATAGGGAAGGATTCTTCTACGCTGGCTTTGTGGCCGGTTTGCACCAGATGGTCCAATATCGAGCTGTTAATGATTTTCCCTACACCTTTACTTAGCCATGCTGGGAGATATTCTCGAGCATGAAAAATCAAGTTCCTAGAGCAACGGCCAATATAACTGGGTTCACAAGCGCAGTTGAATTGATAGATACAATTTGAAGTGTCTAGTCTAGGTACTTCATCTTTCAGTCGAGGAATCACCATTGGTCGTGTAGAGAATAATACGTGTAGTTCGCTAGCATTAAAAGTTCTCTGAACTGATTTTCTTAATTTCTTCGCAACTATCTCGCTTGGTATATCGCCCATGAATTGTAGTCTCATATAAAGAGGTCGTTTTCCGTTTTGTTTGTCATGTGTTTCTTGATAAATTTTTCGGAATAGCCATTTTCGATCAAAGTATCATATGCAATGCTTAATTTATCTTCAATTACTTCTTCTGAGCATATAGCTCTAACTCTGTGGCTGAGGGTCTTCACTAAATTTCTTTTATACTTGATAGTAACGAAGCTGTGAGAATGTGTATATTGTCCTGTCCACGTGCTTTTTCTATGCAAATTTCTTTTTATGCTACCATCTGGTTTTCTTGTAAGTAGGACATCCAGGAAGGCAATTCTGTCTGGAGACTCCTCTTCGCATGTGAATTTCATAGCCGAATGTACTTCATTGAATTCAGTGATTATTGTACTCTTATCAGAACCATTATCAAAAAGAATAAAGGTATCATCCATATATTGGCAATAAAATGAGAGGTCCATTTTCTAGCTTACTTAGAAAGAAATCAGCCAGAATGGGACCCAATGGGGAGCCCATCGCCACCCCGTTCACTTGTCTGTAAAGCATGCTGTTAAATTTGAAATTTACATTCATCGTACATCTTAATATCAATTCTTTTAGTATCTCAGTATGTATGCCAATGTTTATCGACAGCCTGTCCACTTGTTCGCCTATGTAATTAACTGTTTCTAATAAAGGTAGACTTTTTTTTACATTGTTTCTGGTATTGTCCTCTTCACTTTTGTTTTTACAGATATCATTAGTCTACTGGCATCACTTTTATAAATATTTTATTGCTTTTCCTTAAACATTTTTTAGCGTAACTTGTGTTCGGTTTATTCCGCACACTTCTTTGGCTGTTTCCTGTGATCAAGGTGGACAAATTAAACAATGGGATATAAAGAAGTTCCGCGAAATCACCACCCTCAAAGTATGTTTATAGCAAAGCCAGTTTCACACTATTGCACGCCTAATGTCAACTAAATTAATTCACGTATCTACTATCAGTTGATTAATTGCTCATATAAACTTATGCATATGAAACATTCCGTTTCTTATAATCTTGTTGAAGTTTTTAATGCAACTTTATAAATATCTTAAGTTTGTTAACTTGATTTATACCTGTTTTTCTTAAAATGGTCACTTTACTTTGTCTTATATATTGCTTTAACCACCTCTAGGGTCATACTGGCTCTGTAACCTGTTTGGCTACGGGAATTAGAAATACCGCACTTTTGACACGTAAAGATACACCGAAACTGCAGCTATCCCGCAAGTCACGTTCTAAAGGTCGTCAAGAAGAAGAAGAGGAGATGGATGATGAAATGGATGAATTATGGGGTGGTATCATCGTATCTGTTGGTCAAGACTTCAGCATACGAATATGGGAGGAGGCCGATGAATTATTGATTTTAGAAGAAGAGGAACAAATCGCACGAGAGCAAGAAGAAGAAGAAGAGGAGTTGGTCCGATCTGAAGCAGTTATTCCAGGAGCAATGCCTGCAGAAGCTAGTGAGATAGGTCCATTAGGTCGACCAACTGGCGACACAAGAGATGCAGTTAGTTTTATTTTTCAGTTAATGAATTATACATTTATTTGACCAACGTGTACAGTATATTTTGTGTGTGAAAGTTGACACTACTTTCCCGATAGAATGATGTCTGTACCGCAGTCCCATTTTCAAAAGTATAGTTTCTTTCATTATGCTGCTGTTGGCAAAAAAATTGGCACAATTCATAGTCGTCATTTAATTAGCTTGAGTCATGGCTGTTTACATAACGTGTCTTGTGTTGTCTTTGTCTCACCTCGTATGTATACAGAAACCAGCTTATTCATACAAGAGTTTTTACTTCATATTCATACATGCGAGTTATCCCTCTATTGTAAATAGTGAAATCTTTCCATACTATGCAATCAGCTTCATTTCTAAAGTTAATTTCCTTCAGGTTCCTCCCATTTATGCTGGCTGATTGTTGTCTGTTGGTGTTGGCCAGGAATCTTCATCACCTCTGTTTTATCTATGTTCACCTGAAGTCCTATCTCTGATGCTTCTTCTGCCAGCTTGTTGCTTTTGACTTGCATATCTTCCAGTTTGTGGGAAATCAGACATATATCATCGGCGAAGTCGAGATCCTCCACGTTTTTTGTGTGAGTCCATTTTATGCCTGTTTCCTCATTCCCCGTTGTCTGTCGCATTTTCCAATCTACTGCAATCAGGAAAATCATTGGGGATAGTAGACAGTTTTGCCTCACTCCAGTCCTCACTTCGAAGGCTTCCGTAAGTTTCCGGTTGTGGATTACTTGGCATGCAGCATTGTCGTACAACTGTTGGATGAGCTGTATAATTGTCGGTGGCACCCCGTAATAGCACCAATTTAAAGTCTACCTTAATTGTTGCAACCGACGAAACCAGTGGTCTAAGAAACAAAGAATACAGGTGAACAAAAAATAGGCATACAATCATGAGTCTTTCGAATGCATGATTTGAGTAATTAAACAAGTCAAAAAGATTTGCTTGTTTTCATTGTATCGTAAGTCAACCGTCTTGTTTTTACCAATGTTATCCTAAAAAAATTGTAGGAAATTTCGAACAGGATTCGCTTATGTACGTCGGTGGCATAGTGGTTAGGACTCTCGCCGACCATGCACATGGTCCGAGGTTCGATCCCCTGCCGACGCACACCTGATATCTATGGTCGGCCTGTGAAATTTGGGCTACCGATATCCATGCTGAAAATTCCATACTTGTACCAAAAATACAGTGTGTAATCAAGCTGTTACCAAAAATAAAATAATTTAAAATTCTTTTTAATTTTGTGAACAGGAAATTAATTTGTAAATGTATTTCAACGGGTGTGGGTACAGTCAATACACCTAGTTCTACAAGCGATGATATACGCAAAGCTGCGGTAAGCAGTTGTAATCTATCTCCGCATGTGTATTCATCGAATTATTAGTATGAATGATTTTGCAGAATGCTGTTCTGAAATTTTTCATCAGTCTACACTTCAGGACCTTGTTCATTCAATATTTCCTCAACTGAGTTTTGAGAAGCAGTGCATTTATCTTCACACTACTCAGTACATGAAGGCTAGTTTTCGGAAAATGGTTTTCATTTACAAGTCTGTCTGGATTTCCACTCTAGAAAAATGCATACCTCATAAATTATATCTCTTTCCCATAGTGTTCAGTGTGAAAATTAGGTGGTTTCGAGAGGCAAATGAATAGATTGAAGTGTTTCCTGGTAACTACTCTTCGTTTGGTTTCTCTCTTTATGTTCTCAAAGCGTTTAGGTTCGGTATCCTTAGTGAGATTCTGTCTTCATTATGGCAGTAATGCAGTATTTTTTGTAAAATTAAGTCAGCAATTCAGGAGGTCATAGTGTATAAGATGCATTGATTAAAAACGCCTAACTTAAGATAATTTCTCACTACTTATGTCAACATTAATTCAGAGCTCCTACAGGTCTCCACTGTTGACTTTTCTTTCCCTTCCAAACATGTGTTATTCTTATCTTTTAGGCTGATATGTTCATGGAAGCCATAGATATTTATGAAGAAGAAATGGAGAAACGGAAAAGTGGAGCAAAAAACATTGCACCACATCCATTAATGGTTGCAAAAGGCACTGACTGTCCGGAAAAATTCCTTCTGAAAAGCCTGATGGCTTTAAGAGCACCATATTCTCGCTTGGGAGGTGGTGGTGCAGGTTTAGAACACACTCTGGGGGCTATTACAAGTGATCATGCTCGTCGACTTCTTCCTAAATTAGCTGATTGGCTATCTCGTGGTTGGGAGGTTGAACTTGTCGGCCGTGCAATTCGTCACTTGGTGACACTACACTTTGGTCTTGTAATGTCATGTACAGAGTTACGCGATGTAATCCGTCAGTCCTCCAAAGCTCGAATGGATCAGTTAGTTCGTGCTAAGGTATGTTTTCTTTTCTTTTCCCGCTACTTTTTTTATAGTTGACATTCAACTCACTGCTAACGCACTTTTGTTTAAATTGCTTAAATGTCGGAGAAATTCGACGGGTAGTTCAATTGGTTTATCATAGGACTTTTACATCCAAATATTTATATATGAACGTAAATATTATGATGACTACGTGTTCTGTCTCTGTCTGGATTCAACATAGAACTTGGCACCGAAGTGCACCAGTTCGAGTTGCCACGTTCCAATTGGCACACAAGGTAGACAAGAAGATGAGTGAAGAGAATCAATAGAGTTTGACAAATATAAGAGTGAAACAGAATGGGTAATGGTAGAAAGGAATATGAAAGATTACAGAGACTGAATACATCTGCGCCATTGACAACGATTTTGAGCCATGTCACCTATTGTCTCCAGCCATTGATTCCTAGAGTCCCGAGGGCCCCAACCCGGGAGTCTGCATCTCCCTACCTGACTCAGTTTAACTGTCAAGGATTTCATGGATTGATGCCATGCCATGTTTTTGTTTGGCCACCACTGGCTCTTTTCCAACCTGAACCTATATCAGCTAGCAAAGCCCGTCGGGGGAGGCGGTGGTTAGGCATGCGCAGCACGTGACCTAGTCATCTTAGTCTATGTAACTTTATAGCCTCGTCGATTGATTTTCCCTCTTTGCCCAACACTCTACGCCTAACGTCAACATTACTTACCTTATTAAACCACCTAACGTGAGACAGAGATCGCAGACATCTATGATCGAAAGCAGTCAACCTTTTCATGTCTTCAACGCGTATTGGCCATGTTTCAGAGCCATAGAGAAGGACGGAGCGAACTGATGAGCAGTACACACGTCCCTTGGTTGATAACCGGATGTCACGCCTACGCCAGAGATGGTGTAAGTCAGCGAAAGCAGCTCGAGCTTTTCGGATCCGTGCTGAGATTTCATCGCCAATCAGTCCGTTGGTGCTAATACAACTTCCCAAGTAGGTGAAGTGGTCAACATGTTCTGTCACTTCACTCCCTATCACTAAGTTACGTGTTATAACTGTGTCATAGTCTGGGCGAGCAACCCTGGATGGGTGGCTCATTGACTCAGACATGATGAAATCATGACTGTCTGTAAATATATAAATATATAGCTATTCAGTCTTCAAAGGTAAGTACGCTTCAAACTGAGTGATTTACCTAATGAAACTACGGAAAATAAGTCATACCCTAAGAAGGGTAGAAGTCAATCAAAGCATAGGCAGGTAAAATGAAATTCAGCCTAGGTGGGATAAAAATGAATGGTAAAGATAAAAGCATTTTAATATTATAAACAAGTTCTACATAATGAGGCTTATACACACACTTAATTGTAGTTAGTTTGGTTGGTTAGATAGTAACATTTCGGATAAACACCCTGTGTGTCGGTGGCACAGTGGTTAGGACTCTCGCCGACCATGTACATGGTCCAGGGTTCGAGCCCACGCCGGCGCACACCTGATATCTATGGTCGGCCTGTAAAATTTGGGCTACCGATATCCATGCTGAAAATTCCATACTTGTACCAAAAATACCGTTTGGAGTCAAGCTGTAAATCAAAAAAAAATAAAATAAAAACTCTTATCGAGATGGTTTATAGGAGTAATTGGTTTTGTAGACTGTAATAGTTTTAGTGGCGAATGTTATCGTCATCATGACAGCAATAATAATGATAATGCCACTTCATTGCTACTTGGTAATTCCATGTACACTTAATGCTCAAAATTACTCTGCATAATTATAACTTCTGTATTTCAGCTAATAGGTGGTTAGTGCCACTGGTATTCTTTGGTTTAACAGCCTTTATTTTCAAAGACTTTTCCCCCTATTTTACTAATTTAACTGAAGGATGTGACCAGTGGTTACCAGTTATACACAGTAAAGAGAAATTGGTATTACAGTAAACACACGTGAAATCGGAGATGAATAATAAATATAACTAAAGTGGACTATTACAATAAACTAGAAGGTTATCTACGTCCTCTTAGCTCTTAAGGACAACTTGACAGTGTTGTTAATATGCTGCTTTGAAGTGGAGAAATTAGATCACTATTTTTCGTGAAAGATTACCATCTTAAACAGTATATATGTCAAGTCCTTTACCTAATATTGTTAAAACCTAATTACTTGTAACGTATTTTTCATTTACCAGGCTTAAGCCATACTTTTTTGTGAGGTCTAATGGTAATACCGATTGCTCTGGAAGCAAAATTCGAATCTTAGACTCATTTGTTAAGGTTGGGTCGATGAGTCATCAAACTTTGAATATCAAAGTAGTAGTTATTATTCACTTCATTGGTTGCATTTCATATGCTTCGTCTATTGATACCATGAAATTGTGTATGGACATTGTGTAGACGGGCTGATAGTAATAAAAGTGAGTAGAGCATCTTCATGCACGTCGGTGGTTCAGCAATATATTTCTCTCAAGTGGTCCTGTGTCCGACCCTCGGCTGAAGCACGCTTCTGTCTGTCTGTTTTCGACATAGAACTTTGCACATATGTGCGGCAGTTCAAGTCGCCACACTCCATGCAGCACACGCTTAGCATATAGTAAGCCTGGTAAAAAGACAGAAGAGTTGAACGTAAGGCTAGCAACCCCACCGAGTGAAAATAAAACCACCAAAACTCCAAAGCTCTAGCTTGAAGCCCCATGTTCCACTAGAAACATAAAGGAATAAAATAGTAGCAGTGAAGAGTATCTTTATTTTATTTACTATATGATATTTCATTTGAAGGGATCTATGCACTGATTACAGTAACTATGATAAAGATATGGTAGAAATTAGAAGTATTTGTGCACTTGTTACATTCATTTCCTAACACGTTAGACATATTTTCTTACATTTCTGGAAGAGGTTTTAACTGCTCTGAAAACACCTACATATCGTAAATAATTAACAAAAAATCTGAAACATTATTTGTGCTATTACACTTCTAAATTTTTTTTTACACAATGTTGTTTCTTTTTTTTACTTTTTTTAGAATCTTGTTGGCATGAATTTAGCAGGTTTAGAATGCTTGACAAGGAAATTACAAGAGGCTCAACAGATTGATCTGTTTGATGAACTGATAACAGCTCGAGACAAAAGAGTTAGAAAGCACAAAGCTAAACAGGCTCGTCTAGCGCCATTACTTCCAGACTAATTTGTATCTGAATACATGCATATATGTAAATAAAAAAATTGTTTTGTAAAAGAAGTCACACTTTTTTCCGATATCTATTTTTTGCCACTATAGTGTTTATAGAGAGAAAAAGTTAAGTAGTATAATCACTCATTCTCCATCGGTGGCAGTTTTTCGCTTTCAAATTGTTACATTGGTACTAAAATTTTGCACAATGCAAAGTTGTGAATAATTTGTTTATGTTATCTCTGTAAAAGAATGTAAATGTCAAGAAAACCTTTTCTCCAATGGAAATAGTCAGAAATTTTAGTCTTCACTTTCTCAACATCAAGATTTCATATTTTGATATTATCTTGTCAAATAAGAATAACATTTTCAAATTGTTAGTAGTATACAGTTAACATTCTAATATCATGTAATTCTTCCGTGTTATTTTCTCGTGTAATTTTTCAGCATAATCTGTGTTAAGAGAGAAGAAGAAATAAGTCATTATGGTTGTGATTGATGTAAGCTAGTTAGTTATCTATGCGAAAAAGAATTGTTTATATTGAAACGAAACATTAACTGAATACCGAACTATGTTCAGTGCGTGGTTGGTTCAGCATTAGGAAGCTAGACAACCACGCTTGCGGTCTGGGGTTGGATCCCTGCCCGACGCACTCTTTTTTTGGCTCACTAAGCCTGTAGTAAGGTCGGTTAGAAGGGAAGGTTGGGCGTTAGACTAGCGATCCCACCCCGTAAAAGTAAAAACCACTGTTATCGAAACTCCAAAGCCTTAGCTTGAAACCACCCTACGTTCCACTCGGAATGTAAAAGAATACAAAAAATAACCAATCAAATCCCAACAAACCAACACTTGAATATCAATGAGATGCTCACTAGCGATTTGCCCTATTCAGGTATGTAGTTACCTGGGGTTCTAGTGAGAAGTTGTGACCAGTAGAGTGTGGCAGGTCGGGTGTGAAGACAAATACTCTCCGAAGACATTGGCTAGCGGTTGAGCTATGTCGTGAATTGGCAGAAGTTAGAATTCATGGGCTAGCCATTGGATCGGGTTCCAGTGGCTTAATGGTCTACGAGCTATCTCGCCTTGTAACCGGAAGGTCCTGGGTTCGAATCCCGGTGGGTGCGTACTGATGAAGAGTCCCAAACTAAGACGAAACAGTCGTCCAGTACTCCCAGGTTTTCCAATGGTTCTCTAACTAATGTCAGCTCATGATGAAACCCTATAGCCAGTCAAATCCCTACAAACCAACACTTGAAAAAGAAGTATGTTGCATAATACGCCCCACCTGCTTTTTGTCTGTTAATACTTCGGCTATCAAACAACGTTGAAAGTCGACATTTCAAATGAGGATGTGAATACCTCATGTTCTCTAACATTTTATATTTTTATCTTAGTCAATAATGTCATATCCCCCCATTTTTTTCTGTCGCATGGTATTAAATAGGGATTTGAAATTTCTCGCCTACCATTTTACTGACTACAAAGGAGTGATAAATCGTTTTTTTGACGCTTGAGAAATGCGTGTGGAAATAGCACTCACACTCATGACTAGACGGATGAAACGACTTAAGTGTTTAAAATGTAGATGGCTTTCAGGTATCTATACATTAGAATGGTATTTGTACGTGTCTGTAAAAGCTTTGGTTCTGTGTCAGTATGTAATTTCACGTATCTTTGACACTGTGAAAAGGAATTAATTAGTGTTTCCAATACAAATGATCATTCATAATTATATCGTATGTAACTCTAGAAATTAGATAAGGTTGTTACCAATAAATTGTTTTTGAAACGTAATCCTCTATATGATACTGCTTCTTTGTTTGATGTATGTGGTAAACGAACTAATGTAGAAGTAAAATAGCTTCCTAGATAGATAGAATACCTAAGACATCCTTTTGTCAGAGTGTTGTCCCAATTGTACTACTTGCTAGTCGCTTAAATCACTGTTGATATGCAGCTGTGTATAGCGGATCATCAAAGAATAGAGCAGATAAAAAGTTTGAAGTTTAGAGCGTTATAACAGCAAGTCTTGGGAAGGGGAAAAAGATTATCCTTCACTTCAAACCTATTGGGACTGTTCTTGAGCAAATGTTCCAGTGATTTTTATCGTATATTACCAAGTTATCCTAGGAGACTAATTGACTAAAAGGTATTGAAATTCTCGAACAACTAGTTTGAATGCATTCGATTTGTTTTGCCAACACTGAAATTCTTTTTCGTTTATAACCACTGTCGAATGATTAAATATTCCAGTTTTTATCGTCATGAATGAATGAAGAAGGGATAATATTTATTAGGTGGAAAATCCTTCATTTTAAGCGTTCGTTTCTCAGGTGTCTTTTTTCCTATCCAACCATAAATACCTTACAGAATTTCAACACTTCAAGTAGGGGGAAAGACAGAAGAATTCCTTAGTGCATCTACAGGCAAACCTCTAAAACCTACTCCGGTAAGTGGAGCACCGTCTGAATACGTGACCCACTTTTCTGAAAGTCAGATGTTTCTACGAATTGGTATTATCCAGAAACAAATACACACTGGATAGTTATCCCTTTCCTTGTTGTCTGAAACACTCAAGTAGGTAGTACTCTTGATCCGATAGACTACTGGAATTTAATATTTCTGTGGAAGCACGTCGACATGTTTTTCATTGAGATACGTGTAGTTGAAGAGGTTATCTGTGCTGAATTGCAGTTCACTGTTTGAGTTTGTGTAGAATGTCGTATGCGTTAGAACTAAGAATTTTCTAAAAGTGGCTTACAAAGGCACCTATAATAGCTTTCACTTAGCATATAGTTTAAAACAATTTTCGAGTGGGATTTAACAAAACTCATTTGCAAATTATTTAGACGCGTATAAATTCAGGTTTCAGTGGTGATGGCCCTAGTATACTGCATGACTACTGCGGTTCTGTCAAAACTTGATGTGATGGGAAAATAGTTTAAATAAACAAAACTTGCTTGTATTGTTCCATCTTGTTGAGCATAATCGTTTGTAACACACTGGCTTATCGCTTTACTGATTGTGTCGTGGAGATTTCTTTGAGTTGTTATAAATTCTCTGGTCAGATTTATTTGCTGCTTCAACACATTGTCCAATGCAGTCAAGCAAGGATTATAGTTTGTCATCTCTAATAAGAGAAAGAAAAGACAGAGAAAGTGGTTGATTTGAATTTGTTGCATAATTTAAATAATCTTTGCGCATAAACGTTGGTGAAAATTACACTTACGAACTAGAGGCTTAATGAAATATGTGAAAGTATTGAGTGCAAGTCATAATTAATACGCTTAGTAATTTGGCGTTTGTTCCCACAAACTCGAGATTCTCTAGAGCCCAAGTTTATCCATCCATTCGATTATGACGAAATTAAAGACTTATCCAGTATGCTTAGTTATGTCATTAGTTCTCTTCACTTATCTCTCTTGTAAAATGTATTGTTATCATTATTAGTCTCTTGGGTTCTTAGTGGAAAATAAAAGCATCAGTAGCTCGTAGTCGTTGCGCTCTGCTCTCGGCAGTCTTTTCCATCTGGCGCCAAGACTGTTCATAGGCTTTCATCTCCTCCTCACACGATCTCTATGTCATCAGATTCGTTGTTTCCCACTCGAGGAACAGGCGCACGATGTCACTCAACGGTCTTCTCAGCGTATGCCTAATCCATTTCTATTGACTTCTGCATATTTATTGGGTGATATAGGTCGTCGGTTTGTTTGTTCCCAGAGTTCCTTGTTGTCTATCCTTTCTGGCTATCTGGTCTTCAGTATGGTGAGAAATCAGGTGTTGATGAGAGTCTGCAATAGGCTGTTAGACTAGCATTTTGTGACGTGACTACCAAGTCTCTTAACCACATAGAATCTGGAAACTGGAAGAGATTTCCCCCGTCGATGATGACTAGTCCTTGCTTTGTGCGACAGACATAAATCATCTGTGGAATCCAAATCTTCTAGGTTGTCTTTGTCGGCCAAACGTACGACCACTTCGCTGCCCATGGTTTGTTGCATAGTGCAGTCCCCTACAATCAGGAATATCATCAGCGATAGTAGACAGCCTTTTCTTTCTCTATTCTTCACTTCAAAGGCCTCGGTAAGCTTTCTATTGTGAATCATCAGGCATCATCATATAGCTGTTGAATGGAGTTTATACACGTCCGCTGCAGTGCACTCTGTAGTATTGAATCACTTTGCATTTGAAGGCGTTTTCAAATTCTATGAAGTTAAGCTGAAGAGTTGACTTTTAAATGATTATGAATAGCATTGAAGCTTGGTCCGCGCATAACTCGCTTTTCCTGAATGTAACTTGTTCTAAGCATGGTTTGCATCAACGGCGCCCTTTAATTTCTCCAGGACGATCCAGCTAAATATTTTGCTTGTGATGCATAGCAACATGATCCAGCGCCAATCCTTGCATAGGTTTCGGTCTCCATTCTTTGGCAGACTGATAGGGCAACCCTTTTACCAATCGCTAGGCACCCTTCCAGACCTTCCGTATCATTATTGGCCCGTGCATGTCACAGAATGACTAAAAGCACAAAAGTCTGCAAACAGTTCTCCGTTCGCATCCATTTCATCGAGCACTTCTCGACCCATGATAATTCCCTTTCCTGTGTTGTTCGCTCACAGTTTGTCTTGCATTCAAATCACTCATTCGAATTTCAGTGTCCCCATCTGGCTGGGCTTCTTCTTTTTGTTATCTGTGAAATTTTTCCTTTGTATTGTCTTGGCCTAACTTGTTCGTAGCATTGCGAATAACATCGTAAAATTGTATCTGACCTCCAATTTGAGTTGAATCTTCCTATTGTGATACTGGAGGAGATTTTTGTCCGCTGCATGAGACCTATCGATCCTGTCGTGAAATAATGATAGCCTCAATGTTCTTGAGGTTTCCGTCTGGGTAACCGGAGTGGATTATCAACTCCAGAGTTGAACGATGTGCAGAATTCACTTTCATTTGATCTGTTCTCACAAACTCCTATCAACTTCATAGCATGTCTTCTTATTTGTTGTGCGATCTGAAGTAATTCCATGCTCTTTCTATTATCGGAAGAGGACATATCGGTTAACTGGTTTCCTGGAGGCTTTGACCAGCTGATGGTATTTCGCCTCCCTGATTCCAGAGAAGAATAAGTTCTTTGTTCACATTTTTACTCTGAAGACTCTCTAGTTATTGAGTTGATTTTCTGGGACAGGGTTGCTAACGCCACGCTCAACCATCCCACTAGGTAAGGTTGGCGTAAAATGAATAACATTTAGTAATAATAGTCATTTGAAACATATTATGGTGGAAACTACGTTTAAAAGAGAAAAACCGATCTTGGCATAATGTACATTCTTTTCCAGTGAAAATGTGGATTGATATCATATAGACAGAAAAGTGTGATTCTAGTCTGTATTTACTCTGTTAGGAACTCACACGTCTACTAACTAATTCTTTGTCTTGTATCAAGTGAACTTATTGTTGTTTGTCATTTGTACTTATTGTTCTTTCCAAGGTTGATTGCATCACTATCTAACATTAATTAGTCAGTGAAAGAACACCGTACAGTTGTTTCGTCGTAGTTTGGGGCTCAGGGACATCTGTGACGCTACTTGGGATAGGCCGAAATCCGTAAAACCTAACACTTTAGCTGTTTCCTTTTCAGCCAAATAACAGGTTTTGCCTTCATAACTTTGTCTAAACAGTAACAAGATGATCAAGTGTTTGGTTTCCCACTTACGGAGTTATTGACCAGATTTCAAATGTATTCACAAGTTAGTCATATAGAATTATCTCAGTATAACAGTACTATTTATATTCTGTATAGGGATAAAACTTGGTCAGCATCACAGGGTATAATTCCACTCGTATTATTTACCTGATAACGTTTTGACAACAATTTATTCCTTGTAGTCACGTGAAATATAAACCTATAACTTTGGAACAATGAAAGCAGATGAATTGGGTTGCACAGTCATACATGATATACTTCAAAACAACTAAGTGTCTTATATTTTCTTTGCTTTCTATAACTTTGGCCAGGATTGTGGTATTAGATCACATAATGAATAAGCATCAAATGCACCAGAAGAGAAAATAAAGAGCGAAAATTAAAAAGAATAGTCTACTAGAATTTATTTGCATGTATACAGCTCTACACTCAGGCGTGAGGCTAGCAACCCCACCCTGTAAACAAAGTTGCTACAGAAACTTCAGCACGATGAATCTCTTTGCACCAAAAGAAAAAGTCTGTGTGGGAACATGGAACGTCCGAACTATGTACGAGACAGGGAAAGCTGCCCAGATCGCCAACGAGATGAAAAGATACGGAATACAAGTGCTAGGAATATGTGAAAGCAGATGGAATGGGAGTGGACTCACCAAATTGTCAACGGGTGAGTCAGTGATCTACTCCGGTCACCCAGAAGATAACCACACGCACACCGAGGGCGTGGCTATCATGATGTCACCAACGGCAACGAAAGCCCTGATACAATGGGAGGCGATTTCGTCCAGGATAATGACCGCCAGATTCAACTCCAAAGGAAGGAAAGTGTCAATCATACAATGTTATGCACCCACAAACAACGCAGACCTCGAAAAGAAAGAAGAATTCTACAGGCAACTACAGGCAACAATGGACAATACTCCAGCTGGCGACATGAAAATACTAATGGGAGACATGAACGCCAAACTGGGACCAGACAACACAGGAAGGGAACTCATCATGGGTAGAGAAGCTCTCGGAGAAATGAATGAAAATGGAGAACTCTTCGCCGACTTCTGCGCCTTCAACGAACTAGTGATTGGTGGCAGTGTATACAAGCACAAAGATATCCACAAGGCTACATGGGTGTCACCAGACGGGCAAACCAAAAACCAAATCGACTTCATCTCAATCTCAAGGAAGTGGAGGCGCAGCCTACTGGACACAAAAGCAAGAAGAGGAGCAGACGTTGGCTCAGACCACTATCTCGTACAAGGGACAATCCAAATCAAATTAAAAGCTTTCAGGGAATCAGGAGCTGCAGATAGACCACAAGCCAAGTTCAACACTCAAAAGCTGAAGGACCAGGCTACAAAGGACATCTTCATTGCAAGCATAAAGGACAAAGCTGAGACACATATCAACACCAGCGGAAAGGTCAGCGTCGAAAAGCACTGGAACAACTTGAAAACGGTGTGGAGTCAAACCTGCATAGAAATTCTAGGCAGAAAAAAGAGACAGGACAAACAGTGGCTCACTACGGACACTTGGAAACTAATAGAAGAGAGAAGGACAGTGAAACAAAAGATTATCCAGTGCACTGACGAGCAACAAAAACAGGAGCTGAATGCAAGCTACAATACACTGAACAAAAGAGTGAAGAAGAGTGCCAGGGAAGACAAAAGAAAATATTATGAAACCATGGCAAACGAAGCAGAACAAGCTGCAGGCAAAGGAGACCTCGCCACACTCTACCAAACAACTAGGCACCTATCGGGCAAACGTTCGACACAGATTAAGCCAATAAAGGACGACAATGGAAAGTCAATCACCAAAGAGGTGGAACAGAGAAAGCACTGGGCTGAACACTTCAAAAGACTTCTAAATCGTCCGCCACCTACAACACGCCCAGCAATACCAACAACGGAAGCAGAACTACCAGTGAACACTGACCCCCGACGAAATCAGAAGTCCTGAATGCAATCAAGATGCTTAAAGCTGGGAAAACACCGGGACCAGATGGAATCCCAGCAGAAGCTTTGAAAATAGACCCAGAGACAACAGCGGACTTGATGACACCACTGCTGGAGAAGGTGTGGAAAGAGGGCAAAGTACCCGAGGATTGGAAGAACGGATACTTATTCAAACTTCCAAAGAAAGGAGACTTAAGTCAATGTAAAAACTGGCGTGGAATTATGCTCCTGTCCATTCCAAGCAAAATACTAAGCCGCATCATCCTAGAGGGAATCAAACACGCCCTGGATGAAAAACTTCGTCCGGAACAGGCTGGATTCAGGAGAAACAAGTCATGTATTGATTAAATAGCCACTCTACGGATCATCATTGAACAAAGCTTGGAATGGCAGTCACCTCTCTATCTCAACAGAGGTGATGAAGATTCCTGGCCAACAGCAACAACAACAACAGACGATAGTCAGCATAAATGGGAGGAACCTGAAAGAAACAACCTCCTTCACCTACCTGGGAAGCATCGTTTCAACTACAGGCGAACGGAACTGACGAGGATATCAAAGCATGAGTCAGAAAAGCAAGACAGGCTTTCAATACTCTTAAGTCTGTGTGGAGGTCAACATCACTCAGCATCAAAAATAAGACCCGGATTTGCAACTCTAATGTGAAGTCAGTCCATGCTACTCACTACACGGATCAGAGACTTGGCGAGTCATAAAGAGCACCTCAAACAAACTTCAAACCTTCATCAACAGTTGTCTTCGCTCAATACTCAAGATCAGATGGCAGGCCAGAAAAGATCAGCAACAGGGATCTCTGGGAGCAAACCAATCAGGAACCGATTGTGAAACAAATAGACAGGAAGAAATGGAGGTGGATTGGATTGTGGCCATACTCTGAGGGAAGTGACATCACTAAACAAGCCATTGCTCGAAAGAACCCGAAAGGGAAGGGGGTGGCGAGTTGGTCGTCAGTGTGAGGGTGACTTGGAGGAGGTCATGTGAAGAGAGGATGAAAGCATGTGGGCAGACGTGGAGCGGGGTGAAAAAGTTGGCCGATAACAGAAGGCAATGGAGGTGCGCAGCTGAAGCCCTATGTTCCTCTAGGAATTTAAGGATATAATAATAATAATAATAATAATACAGCTCTACAAGCAATGTATGATTTATTGTGACAGAATCTTGTGATACAAATAGAAACATAACTTAATAAACCGTTTTTAAACATAGAAGTCTGAAAACCATCATAGAGGACAATATTACAGTATAAAAACTTACTCTCCAATATCTTATAATTTATCAGTGACGATGTTATACTTTGAATTTTTAATGTATTATTCGTAGGAGGGGGAATAATATTTTCATATCTATTCATCGGCAATATCTGTGGTACACTGTGTATTCGTGGGAAATCCCCTGACCACAGGGTTTGAACTTCAACATCAGTTTTTAAAGGAGACTCGATCGAATTTTCTGATTTCCTGAAAAAAAGTTATGATAAAGCGGAGGTAATAATAACTAACCCTTGGTTTCATAATTTTAAAAAGTTTATAGAATGAATTAATCATGCTGAGAAATTCAGTAGTGCATGACTGCATTACTCTGTATTGATGGAAATGTGTCCATGTTATAAGTCACTAAAATATAAGGTCAGCATTTGTATTAAGTGTAGCTTTCACATTTGAATCAGTTATGATTGAAAACCTGGAATCAGCTCATTAGCCACCGGATTAATAAACAGCTAAGCTGTGAGGTGCAACTGCGAATCAAACTGTCGTTCTATTGTAATCCCCAAGCATAAGACCCAGATGTTGTGTGATAGAGTGAAAAGCAACTGTTGGCTTAACGCCAAACTGACTGTCCAACTAGATCTTAACTTATCACTTATCATCATACCAAATTATGAAAGAAATAGGTTGTCAAACAGGTTGTTACTATTCTCGCCCTGAGTTGAGGCCCATTTGAAATGTGATCATAGATAGAACACTCTATATAGCTTCTGTAGAGATAAACAGAGACCGATTTCAAACCCGCTGCGTAAATATTAGAACTGTTTCAGTTGCAAATGATGATAATGAAATAAACGGTTGCTTATACGTGTCGAAATGCAATTAAGATCATAATCCAAAGTGTTCACTTAGTAGGTGTTTAGTGAGAGACGCTGTGATGGATTGTAGTCTTCCTCCATTATTCGTCAGCAAGCCACATTTACAATTTCATATAGTCACAGGCTAGACTGAATCCTCCAATGACAAATAAAATTGCTAGATAAGGTAAATGTTTATCGTGGATCACGAAGTCTTCATTGTCTTTCGAGACAACATCTTCATCTCTAACTTCAATGTGAAGTGAGCTTCCCGATTTCTCCGTGAATGATATAGCCGTTATCTCTTGGTCACCTTGATTGTGACTGTGTTCAGTTGTGTTAACATTAACTGTTTCGTTAAATTTGCTGGCGTGTAACTTGTTCTTTATTGACTTGTTAAATATATCTACGTAAACATTTCTGTTAGATGCAGATTAATCTGAGTACTATGTTTCTAGGCATTTTCTGGTATTCTAAGTACATCCGTATTTTTGAAGCTTTTAAAGTTTTGAAATCGGAATGATGTCTGTGAGTGCCCATATGCTTAGATACGAAGCAATACATCTAGCGTTTTTTTGGTTGCTAGTTTATGTTCTTGGATGCGAATAAGGTGGGAAGTCCTCTTTGACCAATATACTGTTCCTCAAAGATCATGCAGTTTCTCTTGTAAATAGTGTTGTCTTAATCTTCCTTTGTTGTTAGGTGTTCTTGTCTGCGTATTGATGAATACGGTGACTGTTTTGGTTTGTGAGGTTTCAGTATCCCAACAATTATTAGTTAATTAGTTTAAGGCACACTACCTGCATTCCTCAAGTTGAGTAAAGGCTTATAGAGATTTTTCATCTGAGATAAAGACAACCCGGGTGTGTCTGTCACTGGTGCCCATTGCCTCCATTTTTCACTTAATCTCATCATGGATGCACTAATGAATGTGCCTCTAATCGAATTTGGCTGCCTAGCGATCGACCTTTTTTACCCAGAGAACAGTCTTGCTGACTATGTTAAATATGTGAATGATATCGTCCTCCTAGATGAAGACGCTTTCATAATACAATCTTATGAACACCTTGAGATGTAATCTTAGAACGTTTGGCATGTGATCAACTCTTGGAAATTGTGAGACGATGCTACAAGACTGGTTTGCAGTGACTCCAAGTTTAAAGATGTAGAGTGAACAAACTGAATATATTGACCACTTCCTTTATTTGGGAAATTGTATTAGCCTAATTGCTGACCAAATCTCAGTTCGGGTACAAAAGGTTCCTGTGCCAGTTGCCAACTGACGTCACCTCTGACGTAGACTTGATATACCCCTACCGATTAAATGACTTTAAGGCTGTGAAACGTCACCTCTGACCATAAGTGTTTGCATTCCATCTTTGTTACTTGGTGTATTGAGGTTAGTCATAGTGTGTTATGTATGGGAGATTCGGATAGGATTGTGAAAGTACATCGACTGAGATGACCAATAAACGTATTACGGACACCAAAACGTCACGTTCCATTTCCAACAGTGTTAGCTGACATAGGATTAGGTTTTTGGAAGAGAGTTGGGAATGGTCAAATCGAAACTCAACATCCCTCCATGAAGTGTTTGACTCTTGGCCCTAGCCACTTATGGAGATGTAGACTCCTAGGCTGGGGTCCTCAAGACGCTAAGATCCACTGGCTGAAGACTTGTTGATATGGCTCAAAATCACTCCCATTGGCGCATATGAATTCACTCCCCCTAATTTCCCAGATCTGTTAAGTCTCCACATACTTATTCTTTCTCCCTTATATCTCTGTTTCCTATAATTTCTTAGTATTCCTCTATCTGTACGTGTGTTATACAGATTGCGACAACTTGAATTGCTGAACTTCTGTGCACAGTTCTGAGGTGAAACATACGTGAATGTTTTCCCAGCATGTCACCTATGTAACGTATCCAGCTTTACGGTTAGACTGTTGGCAGAACTATGGTTTCTAATCCTCTCATAACAGCTTCAGGACTTAATTTCTATGCAGGTGAATCCATGGGTTTCCCTATCATACGTTCGCATATTTGTTCATTGAAGTGAAAGGACAGCATGACACAAGTCGACATTTATGTATGAGAGGAGATAAGAACATCTTAGGGATCATTCATACATAGAATGACAGCAGTTAGATTTAAACGTATAACAGAACTCTAATTTATTAGGGATGATATATATATACTTACGGTTTGAAACAAACTTTGACTTCGCCTGCTTTACTGCATATACTCTTTGACCCTAGTAATAAATTTTAAAACGAGATTCAATATTACAACAATATATTACTTCCGAATTTTCACGAGATAATGTTTATTGATAAAAAAAAATCCAACGGGCTTTCATGAACACTCTTTGGAATGACTAGTCAGTTATACCTTAAGTGTATGAAGGTTCGAATCACGAAGCGTTTGTGAATTTCCCTAAGATTACAGACAAATCTTATAAATGAGTTCCAGTGAACTATTTTGAGTAGGACTTCCTGTAGATTGTCCCCTCTTTAAATATAGTTACATTATGTCACTACATTGCATAGTTGATCGAGACTTCGATTGAAATAATGTGAACTGCTTGGCTACTGTCACTACAATCAAGCAACCATTTCGAATAATAGGCTCAGTTTAAAATTTACACATGAAGTCAGGAGCCTATGATTAAACTATTTCTAGGCATCAGGTTCTGCAGTCCTTCATGTAAACATACCATCTAATCTGTATACTGGATTATCAGCATTCAGGAAGCGAAACTTAGGGGTTTGCAAAGAAGAAATAGTTTCAGTAGATGGAAATGCAGCCATTAATTAACCAACACTTATTTCCCCATTTATTTGAAATTAGATAATTCGATATTATCGTGAAGATAATCTCCTAAAGAAGAATGATAGAATCACAAAAATGGTCAATGGAAATCGCCTCACTTTATAGATTTTAAGAAAACAGAATATTAGCTATCGATCTAAAGAAGATTTAATTACTCTTTCACAGTTTATTATATCTTTGCGTTAATATGGTGGCGACTGCTTATCATTCTTATATAAGTTCTTAAATCTGACATAATGCAGGCTCTCATAAATCATTTTAAACTATACCGCTGGAGAACCTGACGTTTTCATAAAATGTATCCCGTCAATATTTATTATATTCTGCATATAAGTTCAGCAATAGGGTTTGGCTAATTCGCTGCTCTCCAGGTTTCCATGTGGCCTATTCTTTCCAGTCGATAATCTGATCTTCAGTATTTCAGTTAGGCAGCTGTTGAGGAAAACCTGCAACCTGTTGGAAAAGCTTCTCATAATGCATGAAGACTCCAAACTACACATAACAAATACCCCTACATGAGTATTGAAAATATTCTTTTTCTTTCCTGTTCTGAATGTTGAAGAACTGCACGATCGCTGCAGATAAATCAATGAGCGTTTTGTATATACATCATGCCTGACTTTACCACCCTTGAATAAAGATCAGTCATCTTCGATTGTTCAGCAAACTTGTTTGCTCTCTATTGCAAATCCTGAAGTTTGATCAACATGAAACATAAATCAACCACAGAATCCAGATCTCCTAAAGCCATTTTGTGTATACACAGAATACTCATCCTATCACTCACCACAGTCTTCCAAATGATGCAGACCATGAATATCATCCGTGATAGTAGACTATCTCGTCTCAATCCTGTAGCCTTTGGTGACCTCTTCATTAAGAATTAATTTGGAATGTGTCATTTTCACCATTAAGCTGTTCAATGAAGTTTGCAAGTGTCTGTGGCACTACACTTTGTAGTGATGCAGCAGTTCCAAGATTGCATGGCGATCTGGTCAACAATGACTAAAATACTTCCAAAGATGCCAAATTTCAGATACGGAATCGGATGTTCGATGGTGATGCGTCATCTACTCCATGGTGAAGTATCATTTCTGCTGTGAATGACTCTATTGTAGTGTCATTTCACCTCTTTTCCCGTCTCCCGTATCTGGACTCCGAATGTTAGTTGCATGAACAGATGGTTGTCTGTCAATAGTTCTGAGTTGATTATCTACTGGTCAGTGAACTTCAGTGCATCTCAGAGGATTTCATAACTATTCAATTCACCCGGTGAACATTTCATTATTCACTTCAAGGAAGATTCATTCACAAGTAGATATGGGAAAGTGATAGGTAGCTGTTCCACTTCATCAGTTTCCGTCTATGAATTTGTGAAGAAGTCAACTGAGTGTTGTTATGTCGGTGTACAACCAGATTACTTGTCATTGAGTCTGTGTATGTGTGTGTATGAATCCAGTGAAATTCGATTTCGTGACTGATGTTCATTATATTTCCTTTGACAATTGTGGTATTCTACAGTGACATGTAAGTGATGGTTGACTCAGGGGATTTTTGAATCGATCAGTCGAGCACTTTGTCTCACACCAGTTTGGTAGTTTGGTCTGCTTCACTGTCATCCACTGGCCTCATCTACGTTGATCTCTATCTACACAGCCACCTTGTTGTTCAATATAGACTTGAGAGGCCACATTCAAATACAGTCTGTTCTACTTACATTCTCAGTACTTCGGGAAAGTGTCTTCCATCTCTCCTAGCACCTTTCCTCACTCCCTCTTTCAGTTCACCTCACATTGTACTCATCTCTATCTCTCACTGTTCGTCTGTGAGCACGTTCGTCTTCCACTTCATCATCCATATACTAACCAATGGCTTCCCTTCATGTGTGTGCAGAAGGCCATTTCTTGTATTGTCTCCTCTTCTCGCCAAAAGTGTCTCTCTATACAGGATCCATTCCATGCGGCTTCCAAACAGTGACAGTGTTATTCCACACCGCCCTTCTCAATGAATTGGCTCAGTGTTTCCCACACTTTCCTAATGGTAACTGTAGGGGTTCACTCTCTCACTTCATCCTCCAATTTCCAAGTGTTCAATATGGATAGTGGTCAATTTTCGGCCTGGTGAAAAGCTCTCCCATCAAGGTTGAAGTTCCGTCGACTAGAGAGTGAGTGGTCTGAACCTACACCTGCCACTCGTCTCCATCTTGTGTCCAACAGACGGTGTCTCCGCTTTCTTCAGATCACATTTACGTGAGTTCCATGTGACTTTTGATGTCACTATCCAGTGAGACACACATCGCCTCGTCGATATCCTCATGCTCGAAAAGGCTGTCTCCGATTACCAGATAACTGAGAGTTCAGTAGTCTGAGAACAGTCCTCTCCTCACACTCATTCCACCGAGCTCCTCTCGACGTTTGATGGGTTCTCTTCCCGTGTTGTCTGTTCACAGTTTGAATTGCATTCACACCACCCATTCGAATTTCGATGTCGTCATTTGTCTACATTCTCGTTCATTACTCCTTGTGATAATATGTAGAAGACCTCGTTCTTCTCTCTATCTGAGAATTCTATGACTGCAACTCTCCTTCCCATTCAATTGAATATTGTCATCTATATCCTGTAGGAGATTGGTGTCCACCCCATGAGGACTTCCAACGCTGTTGTGACATCATGGTAGCCACACTGTCAGTATGCTTGTGGTTATTGTCTGGTTGACCGGTGTAGTTTCTCCATGATCTAGTTAACGATTTGGACAACTCGCTTCCATTTCATTTACTGTCGCCAACTTGTTTCACCTACAAAGCAGGTGTTTTCTTTCGTTGTACACTCGAGCCGCCTTGCTAGCCAGCTTTGTAAATTTTCTGCGTCTCATGCATAGTTTCACTTTCACTGAAAGATTTCTCATCGATCGACTGTCTTTCTAAATGTTCTTGATCTGCGGCGTCATCCAACCTCGGGATGAGAAGTGTTCTAGTTATCAGCTGACAACATATATATTTTTTGTGTGTTTTGAAATGTCAGAAACTACGTGGTTGCCTGTGAGTGATGGTTTGCTTTCTTCACGCCCTTCCCTTCTTTTCCTGGCTTAGGATATGACTTTAAACTAGGAGCGGTTAGGTGTTGGGTGGTGGTTATGACGGATAATCAGTCGTTATGGTTTTGAAGTTTGATAGGCTGAGGTGTGTTATTCAAGAACAGCCATCGCCTTCTTTGAAATACAATGTTAGTCGATATAAGATTAGGTTTGGAAAAGTTAGGAATGGTCACTTCAAAATATACACCAGTTTATGAATTCTTTTACCATCTGTCTGTGTCACGTTTGGAGGCGTAGGCTGCCTATTTGAGAGTCCTGGAAATGCTAAGAATCAGTGATTGGAAACTGATGATTACACGACACAAAGTCGTCCCATGCTTGGCATTGCACGTTCTAGAAATAATCATTGTGCTCCATCTAATTTGTCTTTCTCCTGCACACCTTCTACATATGTTTTCATTGCACTTATATTCTTGTCATTTATGTGTGCTTTTGTGAAGAGTGGTATTTTCAACTGTTTCACGTTTTTGTAAAGTTCTATACTAAGAAGTCTCTTACATATATATATATATATATATATATATATATATACAGCTACTTGCTAAATTAAAGCGAACTAATTAGATTTAGATAAGTCATTGGGAAATCTCCCGTGTAAATGAACAATTCTGCATTGTATTCGTTCAGTTTAAGAATAATAAAGTATGTTTTGAAGACTATGACTAAATCAGAGATCTCAGTTGGCAAAACAGTCACAGGTTTTGATATTTCTTATAGCTGGGTAATTTTATCAACGGAGCAATAGTGACATTTTATTATTTTTTTATATTTTTGGTAACAGCTTGATTCCACACTGTATTTTTGGTACAAGTATGGAATTTTCAGCGTGGATATCGGTAGCCCAAATTACGCAGGCCGACCATAGATATCTGGTGTGCGCCGCTGTGGGCTCGAACCCCGGACCATGTACATGGTCGTCGGAGTCCTAACCACTGTGCCACCGACATCAATGAGAAGTGAAATGATAGCCACTTAAAATTATCGAATAATGCTATCTCTGATACATAATGTATCACGGAACACATGAAAATATAATGAAATAAGTTCATATCTACATGATATTTAGCTAGTCGCAGCACTTTGAATGTATGCTGGTACTAGATGAACAACATTAGCAGCCTATTGTCGACATCATAGCTGTGTATTGTGAAACTACTGTACTGTTATAATATTCCGGTGTTGTGCAATTAATAGTTTACAAAATGCTCATGTATATATAGTGGTTGTTAGGATCTATAAATCAATATTAGTGGTACTCAGCTAGTCATGTTGTTCAGAAATACCTTTAAATCAACTGTTGCCGTATTTTTTAAAACATTATTTGCTTTTTGAGCACATGTATGATAAAAGAACAAATTATTCATTCAGTTTACCTGTGTGACGAAGTTTCTGATCAGCTGGACGGGTTTTTTCCTCTCTTTTTCCTAATGATAAAGATGGTGATAAGGCATATTTATTGTCTTCTTTATTTGAATGGACTGTTTCTTGTTCGTTCTCAAAATCATCAGAATAGTCTTCCGTTGAATCATTATCCTCACTATCTTCAAAATGATGAGAAGTTTCATCTGAAATACACTGTCCTCTGATCGATCTGACTTGAGATTTATGAGTTGATACTTCGGGTGTTTTTGCAGATCTTTGTATAGATGTATTGCTTGTATTATATTGGGATTGGGACTTTTCATAATCAATAGCTTCCTCAATTTCTGATAGGGATTTTTCATCTAAAACGCGATTTTCACCTGTCATATATATCCAGTGGATAAAAGTATACTGTACTGATAAGTGAAAGACCGTAAAACAGTTATTAGATGGCTGAAGGCAATCGGCAGGAAGCCTTAGACTCAGGTTTCATGCTTGTTGGCAAATGTCAGCAAGGTACATCTCAAGTACCTGAGTTCCATCAAGATTGAAGATATACCTTGCTGACGAGTGCTAACTGGCACGAAATCTAGGTTCAAGGATTCCTACTAATTGCCTCCAACCATCGAATAACAACAATTTTGAATGCATTGTGATGGTGAGCCACCTAGCATGGTGGTCATATTGCAAACTTGACTGACAGAATTCAGTCCGCACAACAAATGACACTAGTTAGTATCCAGTCAAAGGCTGTAAAATTCGCACTTTAATATTTTTATTTGGCAACTGATAGTATACACCTTGTGTGACAGTAAAGGTTCATTGCAGATACTAACATTGAAGTTAGACAAAACAAGCATATTGCTAGATTCACGTAAAGTTATTACCAAGTTGTCTTGATGGTCAGGTATGCATACTGTGAGTTGGTGTTTCAGTGAGATGACAGAAAATGAGTGAGTTGGTCTCCTGGGGACAAAACAATCTCTGCATTTACCCAGTTGTCTTATACCAAACTTTTGCAGATAACCTTCACATGAATTTAGTTTGAGCTAGTTACCATATCCACATTACAGGCTTATTGTTTGCATATTTTATTTCTCCTGATTTCCAACAGGCATTAAGAGAAAATTTCGGGAGAATTTGTCCTACCTGATTCTGGATAGCTTGGTAAGTATTTCTGCAACTAATTTAAAAAATACACACCCCATTTTTCATCTTCTGATCAATAAATGGGCAAGTGAATTTCGAGAAATCAAAAATAAGAGATACCTCTTAGTTTTATTAAGTCAAGATCATGAAAAGATAATTACTCATCATATTGGTAGTGACCTTAGAAAATAACTAGTTGAAAATCACAAAATTGAATTCCACTGAATTCGCACACAGAGACTCAATAACAGGTAATCACATTGACATAACAATTCACAGCTCACTTATTCCGGGACTGTTGAAGTGTCTCACTAGAAAATCAAACAGCTAGCTAGAGTTTCCTCATTTTTAATAATTCCCTTCATTATATCGAACCGTGAAGAAATCTTTTGTGGAATCAATGAAACCTCCATGGTGTAAACTAAGTAGTTAGGAAAAACTTTTAAATGTACTGAAATACACTAGTCGGTAGAAAATCACCTCGCTCATCCCTTACATGTCGCTATCATTCGAAATTCAGATATGAAAGACGGGAAGAAAGGTGAAATGCTACTACACTAGAGGAGAATATACAGAAGCAATAAGAGACTAATAGAGAGTAGTAAAGGTGTCTATAAACAAAGCATCAAACCGTATCATCCCGTGGAGACTGAATGATGCTGTGGACGGAAACTTTGTTTGGAGAAAGCTGAATTCAGAAAAAGTATATCATAAGCTGTCGAAACTGCAACATTACGGCACAAAATTTAACATGTTAGTAAATTTTAAACAGGTTATTTATACGTGTGAGACTTTGCTAGAGTTCTCAATTAAAAAGACTATCATCTGCACACTATGAGTCATCGAGCCAGCTGCCTGTTAAGTAACCTTATGATACAACAAAGTGAAACACATTTCTTCCAAGAGTGTCTCTACGGTAGGATAAATAAGAATGAAAACACCATGTATTCCTGACGGACACTAATGGATGTCATCATCTCAGATGAAAATTATGCGTAATTTCTAAGGTCATTTCATAATCTTAAATAGAGTGTTTTGTTTAACGGAACATATTCTTCTAGAACTATCTTCGTATTTGGTACAGTCGAATGGTGCCTTTAGTTTAAAAGCTACAACCTATCTGAATGTGAAGATCACATTATCGTTTTCTCCTACAACTATAATCTAAGGATAAATTAATCAACTGGACGCAACCACAACATTCTCTCAGGATGACATGAAAAACATCAGAATCAAGAGTCTTGCACTTAAAATAATTTTGCTGCATATATAAATCTCGCGTAAAGTGTTATTCAAAGGGTGTTCTACTTAAAAAGTTATGAGTACTATACTGAAACTTACTGTATGATTTTTCATTTCTACCTGAAGATCGATAACTTGCACAAGTCATACTATTTTCATTCATTAATTCATCTACTGATAATATCAACTGATCATCAAGAAAACTCATTTTGCTTTCATTTCTCACATCTAGATTTTTTTTGTGAAATGAAAGAAGGAAATGTTTTTTCAAAGAAATCTACAACAATAATGTTTAAAATACACATAAGATGTAAGAAAATAAATAATGGTGCTTTGATGTAAATTATGATTTCTAAGTGTGCATCACTGGTTCAGCGGTAGCATACTCGCCAACCACGTATGTGTCTCTGGGTTCGGTCCCCAGCCGATCTACTCTTAAACCGCTCTCAGCGTATAGTAAACCCAGTAAAGAAAGAGGTTTAGGCGTCAGTCTAGCTAATAAAATTTCAGAGCTCAAGCTCGAATCGCTACTTCTCATCCAAAACGCAAAAGGGGCAAACGATAAAATGTAAATATATAATTGCAAATCGACTGTCTGTCTGTCTGTCTGTCTGGATTCAACATAGAACTTGGCACCGAAGTGTAGCAGTTCGAGTTGCCACCTTCCAAATAGCACACAAAAATAGACAAGAAGATGAGTGAAGAGAATCAATAGAGTTTGACAAATATAAGAGTGAAACAGAATGGGTAATGGTAGAAAGGAATATGAAAGATTACAGAGACTGAATACATCTGCGCCATTGACAACGATTTTGAGCCATGTCACCTATTGTCTCCAGCCATTGATTCCTAGAGTCCCGAGGGCCCCAACCCGGGAGTCTGCATCTCCCTACCTGACTCAGTTTAACTGTCAAGGATTTCATGGATTGATGCCATGCCATGTTTTTGTTTGGCCACCACTGGCTCTTTTCCAACCTGAACCTATATCAGCTAGCAAAGCCCGTCGGGGGAGGCGGTGGTTAGGCATGCGCAGCACGTGACCTAGCCATCTTAGTCTATGTAACTTTATAGCCTCGTCGATTGATTTTCCCTCTTTGCCCAACACTCTACGCCTAACGTCAACATTACTTACCTTATTAAACCACCTAACGTGAGACAGAGATCGCAGACATCTATGATCGAAAGCAGTCAACCTTTTCATGTCTTCAACGCGTATTGGCCATGTTTCAGAGCCATAGAGAAGGACGGAGCGAACTGATGAGCAGTATCGACTTCAAGATGTAGAGTGACAAGAGAAGCAGTCTTTATATGATAGACAAGGGGAATTGAATGCAACCGAAAAATGTTGTGAAACGGATGTGAAGACGATACGTAGTCATAAGAAAACCATTCATTGCGGCGGAGAAATTCCGTATTTATTTTTTGGATAAATTACATAATGAACGAAAAATCTTCATCCACTTCACATTATCTTGTAATTGTATTTAGCTGACCTAGTTGGTTGTACTTATCTTGTCATACTACAACTCGTAATTCTATATCTCTACAGGTTCCATTGTTTTTATACATACAGTTTCTTTGATCAGCTTAAAGTAAACAAAGAAAGAATGAAGATATTTGCAGGTGAAAAAAAGAGTTCATAATAAGATGGAAACTTAGTCACTTAATAGGATAAGGAGAAAATTGTGAAAATATGTGACATGAACAATATGTCAGTCGGAAGCTAAATAATGAGTTCAGTTCAGAGAAGGAACATCAAAATCAGGTACAACGAAAAAAAGCATACGCTTATCTAGTTACCACGATAGTAGAAAATTAATCACACTAACTTTTTGTGCATACACAAATTAGGTTGCATTTATTTGATATCTCAAAAACCTACTACACACTATCACCTCAGTGGCTACCCCCAAGAACATGTGAATTGAGACATAATTCTTATTCGATTTTGATGTTCGCTATCTAAGTTGAACTCATTACTAAGCTTCCGATTGACATATTGTTCATGTAGCAATTTTACACTCACTTGTCATATATATTTTCACAACTTTCTCCTTCTCCTATTATCTCCCTAACCTATCATCATATTATGTATAACTAAACTCCGGTTGTTCAGTTATTACCAATCTTGTGTTAATACCTCTTGCTCTATTGTTGTGCTAAGAATTGCTAAATTCTCTCGAATCAAAATAATTTTGAAGTATGTCATATATATTTACATTTATAATAACTTAAATTATTTGTAAGCTGTTAGCAAGGGAAGGAAATCCATGAAATAAAATGAACTCTTTCTCACCTGCAAATATCTTCATTCTCTTTCCCTGAATTCATTCACTTAATGAATATATTTATTTTGGGATCTTATTTAGTAAACAAACACATACTCAATCAGAAGAGTAGAAGTTACACCATCAAACTTATTAGTAAAGAAGGAAACAGTGATTGAAATGTAAATTGTTGAAATCTGTTGTCATAACTCATAGGTATCTGACTAGCAGTGATAACATTTGCATAAATAATAAGTTACTATGCATTTTTAAGCCAAATGCTAACTTGCTTTGCAGTGTATTCAGCTTTCCGATAAAGAATATCTAAAGGCATACAATTTTTAGCTGAACAATTTATACTGTTCAGTCACTAATCTGCTTAACTTAGTTTCAGAATATTAAAATATGAGGCTACTACTAAAGAATGATATAAATAATATCAATCGATTTTTTCCTTTGGGGGAAAGGCGTATCTTTTAGCATTTTTTAGAAAAAAATTGATCACGAGGTAAAAAAAACTCAGCTGTTGAATATAATAGTCCCATTTTAAAGTTATTTATTTGTACAGGAAAGAAGATAAATTCAGCAGTACATTGACAGATTTCCCAATAGCAGCTTTTATATATTTTAGTTATATAAGTTAACGTCAAGCTAAGTATTATTAAATTGGAGACAGTGACAAAGACAGAATTGAACGCAGTTTATAAACGTGCTAAGAGGTGTGCAATAATTAGAAAAAGCACGCAAACCAGTGTTATAAGGGCCTGGTATAAGTCTGCCTAATAGGTAAAACAATTTTCGAAGAATAAAATGTAATCGTGGTAGTCATGGCAACAGACAGCTTTTCGTTGCCTTCAGCTACAAATAATCATTTTATTCTAAAGTAAAGCTGACAGTATCTAACCTATGTGAGCACGCTTTTTTGCTAATGATATTCTAATTTGATGATATTAGATGGTTGGAGGCAATCGGTAGGAAGTCTTGGACCTAGGTTTCGTGCTACCTGGCACTCGTCAGCAAGGCGTATCTGTAGCCTTGAAGAAACTCATGTCCCTTCTGAGATTCGAGCCCGCCTCACCCAGTGCTGCAGTCAGAGACGTTACCACTGAGCTATTCGGACTCATTACTAATTAAATATGAGAAATAGATATGCTATAAATGGAACCAGAAGTATTTGGGTAGCATTTTCAGCCAAAATAAAGTAGAAGTAAAACTTACCCTTTGTTAAATCAACCAGTGAATCTTCATTATTGAGGGTCATAACTGAAATTCTGTTTAAATCATTTTCACCATTTTCTTGTATAACTAACATTTCACTCGACAGGTTGTCATCCACCAAATCCCTATCAAACACCTTTGACTTTGCAACATTTGAACTTGTCGACCTCTTGTTAAGACAGTTTATTGACGTTTTCCGTTTTTATAAGCAAAAAGAAATTGATTTTAACTATTAATATTGAAATTATTGTATTTTCCAATGAATGATAAATAAAAAAAAAACTCTATTTCCATTACTGACGTTTCGTTATTTAATGTAATAGCTTTGATAATTTAAACTGTCTTCTTGAAAATAAATATAAAATATTCCGTAGTATTTTACAATCCTTATCCTAATTATGGTCCTAACCTTAATCCTAACCCTAACGAGCTATCAGCACATTGTCCAAATGTGATCTGGGTGAAATTTGCATCTTAGTTGGTGAATAGCGTTGTTAGGATAACGATAAGTGCCATTAGCCAACGACTACCGTGCGTCCAAGTTCGTTGGAGCGTTCTCACTCCTGGGACGCTATTGTTGAACTTCGCCATATTTCAATGGTTTAATTTATTGATTGTAATCATCAGTAACTAATTCGTTTGAAATGAAACACAAAATAATGAAGCTTCAGAGCTTGAGTTCTGGGAATAACATTTGGATATTTCAGCGAATCAGACTAATAAACTAATGTCTACTGACATTATAAACATACTGTTTCTAAAATCTTAAGTCTACATAACACCTTTCACAACAATCTTGAGTTCGTGAAGTAAGAGCTACCAGAGGCAATACAGACCGATTAACAAGTATGGTGTTTTTGGATAAAATTCTTTATTTGGATTTCAGCAAATGATGTGAAAGACTTTTAGTGGTTCTAACACTGGATATCTTATGTCAGTAATGCATAACCAAATAACTACTAATCAAATTATGATAACATTGTTATTTTAAGCAATACACAGTAGATGATGTCTTCAATTAAAAGTAAAAATCAGAGTTAAGTGCACAACAATCACAAAACTTGAAAGCCTTAAAATGTTAAAACAGGTGCGACGGGCACTGGACGGGGAACAAACGAAGCACGGAATCCAACGAACAACACCAGGAAACTATGTACAAACACCCATTAGCATAGGCAGACAAACCAGTAGGCATAAGACCAAGCCGCTCGGAAGATTTTTTCACCCGAAAGGGAACCATCGAGTTTTTTTTACTTCCGGCTGGTTCTGTCTTAGGGTCCTCACGACCCCACTAGGGGGGAGTGAGCTGTAGCGGTAAATAATTCCCCAAAATTATTGACCACAGCAATCACTCATTGGATGCTGACCACCACTGTTTAAGTCGACTTGTTTAGCTGAAGGCTTCCGGTCAAGCATCCCCGCCATTTGGTACCCCGTCGTGTAACGTGCACGATCACTAGCTAGCTAAGCGTTCGTCTAACGGCTGGTTTTGGTTACTAAATATATATCTTGGTTCGGACGATCAATTGTTGGCTTTTGCTTTGTCTTTGGTACGCGAGAATAAATTAATTAGAAGTTGTTGAACGAGATATCACGTCAAACATTTAATATCCGTCAACCTTTAAACAGGCATATACAAAATTAAATAAGTGGGGAAAGTGAAAAAAGCCCAATTAACCAAAACGTGATTTCCTTAGAAAACTACAAAATGCGATTTGCTCTACAGTATATAGGGTGTCACTGTTATGCTAAGGACATGTAACATGGCTGGTGTGAGCAACCGTACATCGCAAATGCTGAATGGAAGCTTTCACTAAGTAAATTCAAATGACTTAGCTTTCCAACACAGTGTTTATTAGCGATACATTTTGCCAACATTTCGTTCGGTACCTTGGCATTAATCGAGTAGCTAACTAAAATTCACGCAACTTAAACGATTCAGTCATTATCACTACTTAGGTGATTCCTTTTAGTACAAGTTAGTAGAAACTCAGTTAAGCAGGCAGTGCTGACGAGCTTATCTGTTTCACAACTGCTCGTGTCATCCAATCAGCAATATAGGCTTGATATTTACCTAATATCGTTTCCTTTCAATAAATATTACAAATAATAAGCAGGAGTTCATTGGAAAGGAAATCTTCAGATGATCCCGGGGAAAGTTCAAACACCTCTCCACAAGTGGAATACAAATGCTTTAAGTACTTAAAGTGTAGTGGAATATACAAGATGATAATAATCATCAGTAATATATATATATATAAACTGACCTTGTTACCACTTGTCCTTTCTGTGGAATGTTGGCTTAAGCTAATTGGGGTTTTCCTTGCGTTAAATGGAGTCAGCAGGTCTTCGGTATTTTCATCTTCTGTTGTACCAGGAGACAAGTTTCGGGCTGAAAAGAGAAAAATCAAACCAAAAGTATGAAGAACTAAATTTTTGTAAAATGGTGGAAAATACCTGTTAGAGCATTTTAGAGAAAAAACTACAAGCTCAACAAAGATATCTTTTCGGTGATGAACAGTTATTTAAGTTGAATTAAACGGAGTAATCACCTGTAGTATTGCGAAATTCTATTCAATAATGTGTTTGTTAAAGTGAGTATATATATGTATATAAGAGACTTCTTAGTATAGAACTTTACAAAAACGTGAAACAGTTGAAAGTACCACTCTTCACAAAAGCACACATAAATGACAAGAATATAAGTGCAATGAAAACATATGTAGAAGGTGTGCAGGAGAAAGACAAATTAAATGGAGCACAATGATTATTTCTAGAACCTGCAATGCCAAGCATGGGGACGACTTTGTGCCGTGTAATCATCAGTTTCCAATCACTGATTCTTAGCATTTCCAGGACTCTCAAATAGGCAGCCTACGCCTCCAAACGTGACACAGACAGATGGTAAAAGAATTCATAAACTGGTGTATTATTTTGAAGTGACCATTCCTAACTTTTCCAAACCTAATCTTATATCGGCTTACATTGTATTTCAAAGAAGGCGATGGCTGTTCTTGAATAACACACCTCAGCCTATCAAACTTCAAAACCAAAACGACTGATTATCCGTCATAACCACCACCCAACACCTAACCGCTCCTAGTTTAATGTCATATCCTAAGCCAGGAAAAGAAGGGAAGGGCGTGAAGAAAGCAAACCATCACTCACAGGCAACCACGTAGTTGCTGACATTTCAAAACACACAAAAAATATATATGTTGTCAGCTGATAACTAGAACACTTCTCATCCCGAGGTTGGATGACGCCGCAGATCAAGAACATTTAGAAAGACAGTCGATCGATGAGAAATCTTTCAGTGAAAGTGAAACTATGCATGAGACGCAGAAAATTTACAAAGCTGGCTAGCAAGGCGGTTTGAGTGTACAACGAAAGAAAACACCTGCTTTGTGGGTGAAACAAGTTGGCGACAGTAAATGAAATGGAAGCGAGTTGTCCAAATCGTTAACTAGATCATGGAGAAACTACACCGGTCAACCAGACAATAATCACAAGCATACTGACAGTGTGGCTACCACGATGTCACAACAGCGTTGGAAGTCCTCATGGGGTGGACACCAATCTCCTACAGGATATAGATGACAATATTCAATTGAATGGGAAGGAGAGTTGCAGTCATAGAATGCTCAGATAGAGAGAAGAACGAGGTCTTCTACATATTATCACAAGGAGTAATGAACGAGAATGTAGACAAATGACGACATCGAAATTCGAATGGGTGGTGTGAATGCAATTCAAACTGTGAACAGACAACACAGGAAGAGAACCCATCAAACGTCGAGAGGAGCTCGGTGGAATGAGTGTGAGGAGAGGACTGTTCTCAGACTACTGAACTCTCAGTTATCTGGTAATCGGAGACAGCCTTTTCGAGCATGAGGATATCGACGAGGCGATGTGTGTCTCACTGGATAGTGACATCAAAAGTCACATGGAACTCACGTAAATGTGATCTGAAGAAAGCGGAGACACCGTCTGTTGGACACAAGATGGAGACGAGTGGCAGGTGTAGGTTCAGACCACTCACTCTCTAGTCGACGGAACTTCAACCTTGATTGGAGAGCTTTTCACCAGGCCAAAAATTGACCACTATCCATATTGAACACTTGGAAATTGGAGGATGAAGTGAGAGAGTGAACCCCTACAGTTACCATTAGGAAAGTGTGGGAAACACTAAGCCAATTCATTGAGAAGGGCGGTGTGGAATAACACTGTCACTGTTTGGAAGCCGCATGGAATGGATCCTGTATAGAGAGACATTTTTGGCGAGAAGAGGAGACAATACAAGAAATGGCCTTCTGCACACACATGAAGGGAAGCCATTGGTTAGTATATGGATGATGAAGTGGAAGACGAAAGTGTTCACAGACGAACAGTGAGAGATAAAGATGAGTACAATGTGAGGTGACCTGAAAGAGGGAGTGAGGAAAGGTGCTAGGAGAGATGGAAGACACTTTCACGAAGTACTGAGAATGTAAGTAGAACAGACTGTATTTGAATGTGGCCTCTCAAGTCTATATTGAACAACAAGGTGGCTGTGTAGATAGAGATCAACGTAGATGAGGCCAGTGGATGACAGTGAAGCAGACCGAACTACCAAACTGGTGTGAGACAAAGTGCTCGACTGATCGATTCAAAAATCTCCTGAGTCAACCATCACTTACATGTCGCTGTAGAATACCACAATTGTCAAAGGAAATATAATGAACATCAGTCACGAAATCAAATTTCACTGGATTCATACACACACATACACAGACTCAATGACAAGTAATCTGGTTGTACACCGACATAACAACACTCAGTTGACTTCTTCACAAATTCATAGACGGAAACTGATGAAGTGGAACAGCTACCTATCACTTTCCCATATCTACTTGTGAATGAATCTTCCTTGAAGTGAATGATGAAATGACTACCAGGTGAATTGAATAGTTATGAAATCCACTGAGATGCACTGAAGTTGACTGACCGGTAGATAATCAACTCAGAACTATTGACAGACAACCATCTGTTCATGCAACTAACATTCGGAGTCCAGATACGGGAGACGGGAAAAGAGATGAAATGACACTACAATAGAGTCATTCAAAGCAGAAATGATACTTCACTATGGAGTAGATGACGCATCATAACCGAACAGCTCTATGAATGACAGCCGATTCTCCATCTCAAATTTGGAAACTTTGGAAGTATCTTCATCAGTGCATACCAGATCGCCATGTAATCTTGCAAATACTGAAACACTGCAGATTGTAGTGTAACAGTCACTTGTAAGCTCCATTAATAATTTATTATTATTATTATTGTATCCTTTAGTTCCTAGAGGAACATAGGGCTTCAGCTGCGCACCTCCATTGACTTCGGTTTTCTGACAACTTTTTCACCCTGCTCCAGGTCTGTCCACATGCTTTCATCTCCTCCTCGCATGACCTCCTCCAAGTCACCCTTGGACGACCAACTCGCCGCCTCCCTTTCGGGTTCCACTCGAGGGCTTGTCTAGTGATGTCACTTGATGGTTTCCTCAGCGTATGGCCAATCCATCTCCATTTCTTTCTGCCTATTTGTTTCACAATCGGTTCCTGATTGGTTCGCTCCCAGAGATCCCTGTTGCTGATCTTTTCTGGCCATCTGATCTTGAGTATTGAGCGGAGACAGTTGTTAATGAAGGTTTGAAGTTTGTTTGAGATGCTCTTTATGACTCGCCAAGTCTCTGATCCGTATAGTAGCACTGACTTCACATTGGAGTTGAAAATCCGGATCTTATTTTTGATGCTGAGTGCTGTTGACCTCCACACAGATTTGAGAGTAATGAAAGCTTGTCTTGCTTTTCCGATTCTGGCTTTGATGTCCTCGTCAGTTCCGCCTGTAGTTGAGACGATGCTTCCCAGGTAGGTGAAGGAGGTTGTTTCTTTCAGGTTCTTCCCATTTATGCTTATTGTGGTCTGTTGTTGTTGTTGATGTTGGCTAGGAATCTTCATCATCTCTGTTTTATCTATGTTCACGTGAAGTCCTATCTTTGATGCTTCTTCTGCCAACTTGTTACTTTTCACTTGCATATCTTCCAGTTTATGGGAAATCAGACATATATCATCGGCGAAATCCAGATCCTCCAAGTCTTTTGTGTCAGTCCATTTTATGCCTGTTCCCTCGTTGGTTGCCGTTGTCTGTCGCATTATCCAATCAATTGCAATCAGGAAGATCATTGGTGATAGTAGACAGCCTTGCCTCACTCCCGTCCTCACTTCGAAGGCTTCCGTAAGTTTCCCGTTGTGGATTACTTGGCATGCAGCATTGTCGTATAACTGTTGGATGAGGTGTATAATTGTCGATGGGACCCCGTAGTAGCGAAGTAGTTTCCAAATGACCTCTCGATCGACGCTGTCGAAGGCCTTTTCAAAGTCGATGAAGTTGAGATAGAGAGGTGACTGCCATTCCAAGCTTTGTTCAATGATGATCCGTAGAGTGGCGATTTGATCAATACATGATTTGTTTCTCCTGAATCCAGCCTGTTCCGGACGAAGTTTTTCATCTAGGGCTTGTTTGATTCTCTCCAGGATGATGCGACTTAGTATCTTGCTTGGAATGGACAGAAGCATAATTCCACGCCAGTTTTTACATTGACTTAAGTCTCCTTTCTTTGGAAGTTTGAATAAGTAACTGTTCTTCCAATCCTCGGGTACTTTGCCCTCTTTCCACACCTTCTCCAGCAGTGGTGTCATCAAGTCCGCTGTTGTCTCTGGGTCTATTTTCAAAGCCTCTGCTGGGATTCCATCTGGTCCCGGTGTTTTCCCAGCTTTAAGCATCTTGATTGCATTCAGGACTTCTGATTTCGTCGGGGGTCAGTGTTCACTGGTAGTTCTGCTTCCGTTGTTGGTATTGCTGGACGTGTTGTAGGTGGCGGACGATTTAGAAGTCTTTTGAAGTGTTCAACCCAGTGCTTTCTCTGTTCCACCTCTTTGGTGATTGACTTTCCATTGTCGTCCTTTATTGGCTTAATCTGTGTCGAACGTTTGCCCGAAAGGTTCCTAGTTGTTTGGTAGAGTGTGGCGAGGTCTCCTTTGCCTGCAGCTTGTTCTGCTTCGTTTGCCATGGTTTCATAATATTTTCTTTTGTCTTCCCTGGCACTTTTCTTCACTCTTTTGTTCAGTGTATTGTAGCTTGCATTCAGCTCCTGTTTTTGTTGCTCGTCAGTGCACTGGATAATCTTTTGCTTCACTGTCCTTCTCTCTTCTATTAGTTTCCAAGTGTCCGTAGTGAGCCACTGTTTGTCCTGTCTCTTTTTTCTGCCTAGAATTTCTATGCAGGTTTGGCTCCACACCGTTTTCAAGTTGTTCCAGTGCTTTTCGACGCCGACCTTTCCGCTGGTGTTGATTT